GGCTCTTTGCGAACCCTTTGCAAGGTGCCTTCCAGGACCCTCTCCACCCAGGACCCTCTCCACCCAGGACGCTCTCCAGGACCCTCTCCAGGCCCCTTTCCAGGCCCTTTGCAGGTGGGTTGGCGGCGTGGTCGCGGTCCCCCGCTCTCCTTTCCATCCGTGGCGGCCATGCGTCCGGCCTGCAATCCGATGCCGTCGTCCAGCGCAGCGACGCCGCGGCGCGCCGGCCGCCGATCGGGAATCGCGGCGACTCAGCAAGCGAACAACAGACTCCTCTACTCCGTCGTTCCTTTAGCCAGCGGCCGACAACGCCGGCTCGGCTCGGCACGGCTCGGCTGCGCTAGAAAGCCCTTTTGCTCGGCTCGCGTCAAAGTGCCGGCCGTCGTCACGCGCAGCGACATCAAAGAGGTAAGGTCCAAGGACACCCCGCCCCGCCCCGCCCCGCCCCGCCGACAAACTTTAAGCCCGCAGGAAAAAAGGAGGAAAGGGAAAGAATCATTTTGAATTCAACTTGGACGTGACGTGATGCTGGGCTCCCTGTGCCCCCAGAGCGCCACCGCGGGATCGTGTTCAGCCTCTCTCGCACCCTTACGAGGGCACCCCACGAGTGCGAGCGAGACAGAACGCTGGTCCGCCGCGCTCACCCCGTTCAACCACCCCAGGCTCCAGGCCAGGCTCCAGCGGCCGCCACTCGGCGCTGAAAGGGAGACCCATTTTCCTGTCGAAAATGATTTACAGGCCTTACGCCCTCAGGTCGCGGTGGTGCGGTGGGAGCCAACCCTGTAAGCCAGCCAGCCAGCCAGCCAGCCAGCCAGCCAACAGCCAGGGCTAATGGCTCGGCCAAACAAGGAATAAATTCCAGCCAGGCTCGCTTCCAGTCCTCCAGTGGCGGTGAAGCTTGCCGAGACGCATGTAACAAGAACACAGCGTTCTGCGAACACCCCGCCGCCCTAAACTGAAATCTCCGCGCAGAGTCGCTGTTGCTCGCGTGGCCAAATTCGCGACAGCGCCAAGTCGAGTCGAGACTCTCGAGACCAACTCGAGACTATCGCTGTCTTCATCGCGTGCCGCGCCGTTCCGCTCCAGCGAGACGGCGAGACGCAGTACGTGGCGGCGCTCTTGAACTTGCGCCGACATCCTCATCTCTCCGTCTCCTTCTCTCTCTCCGTCGCGCCGCGACCTCAGACGGCCAGAGAGAGAGAGAGAGCAACGCGCTTGAACAACACGCGGGGCCGCGATAAGCGGCAAGAATGACGCTAAAAATAGAAAAAGGCGACATTGCAGTTTCCTGCACACTGCCGCGCGGCAGGCGGGCTGGCTGGCTCCGAAACCCGCGCGATTCCGTCCTTGTCCCACTCACTCGCTCGCTCGCACAGGTCGCAGAGTTCCAGAGGTAACTCAACTCGAGATCGGGCGGCAGTGCGCTCAGTGCACAGGGGAAAACTTGGCCAGCCATTATCACATCAAACTGACGAGAAAAGAGAAAATCCGACGCCCCAGCGCGCAGCCCCAGCGAAAACACAGACAAAAAAACCCGACTATTATCTGAAAAGGGAAATGAAAGAGTCGACAAACCGATTGCTGTGCCGGCGCGGTATGCCGGCGCCAAAACGCTTACCTATGGGGAACGGCGCCCCGCCCCGCCCCGCCCCGCCCCGCCCCGCCCCGCCCCGCCCCTCGTTATTGCGCGTGAAACACGGCGGGGCAATAAATTCAGCCAAAAATCGAGGCCCGGCCGTTTAATTGGCTCCCCCTCCACTCCTCCCCCTCTTTGCCCGGCATAAATTTGACACCTGTACTTCCGGCCGGCCTTCCGCGCCGTCTGCCCCTTGTGCCGGGGCCGCCGAGGGGCCGCGCGGCCGGACTGCAGGGCCGCTGGACTCGCAGTGGACCCGTCGCTCCGTCTCGCTCGCACTCATAGACACTCGCGGCCCGCCCCGTGGAGGCCCACGGGTGCGAGAGAGACAAAGCAGGCCGTAATTGATAAACGCGACGCTCAGGCCGTTTTAATTACGCCCAGTATCGGCGCGAGCGAGCAGCGCCAGAGCACGCCGCCCTCTAGCGCGAGTCAAGCACCACTGGCCGAAAAGAGGTTAAATCAAATCGACTGAAATTTAGCCGAATTTCTCCGAAATGATGACAAAGAGAGTAACTGCCCTACAGTCAACACAACTAAAACTGAAATTTTTTTGTAACAGTGATGGGCACGGCCCCATGTGGAAAAGAATTGCCGACGAACGGGTTGTACGCCGCCTCCGCTTCAAACGGCTTCAAGGGACGCGAGGGAGCGGCCATTGTGAGAGGCACTGTAAGTACCGGGCTTGTCCCGAGGGACCGGGCCGTTTGGGGCCCCACGGAAAGCGTGTGCGCGTCTTGCGTCTTCGGGCCGCATCGGGCACGCCTAGCCTGGGCACGCCTGCCGGCTGCCGACGCCCACTAGCGTCGCGACGCCGCCACGCACAGCAGCAGCGTCGCACCGTGGCTGTGGCACTCGTATGGGGCGTCGCGCAGGGGTGCGAGAGAGACAGGCACCGCCCATCCTTGCATCCTTGCTCGGCTCGCGCTCCGCCCGCTCTACGAGTATACACGTTTACCGGTCACTGTTGGCCTGTTGGCCGGTAGCCCCGCAGTCCTGGGCTATTTCGGGCGGGCGGGTCGGCCTTTCGTTTGGCCGTCCGGGGCCCGCGGGGGCGGGGCGGGGGTGAAGTGCTTAAAGGACGTTCAGTGCAATTTTCAGAGGAGACTTTCGTTTTCACTACTGGACCTTTACAGTGTAGACCGCGGCGCCTGACAGCAGCGCCAAAAGGGCCGAAAGGGGTGGGTATTCTTTTTTTATGGTGCGCCAGGCCAGGGCGGACGATGGGGCGGTAGTGCCGAGGGGAGGGCGGCCGTCATGGACGTGCGCGTCGTGGACGTCGTGGCCGTCGTGGACGTGGGCGTCAAAGAGACCGGCCCAAAGTGTACCGGTCAGACCCGACTGGGTCCGACGGCCCGTCCAGGCCGGCAGGACCTCCGGCAGGACCCTTCCAAGGCCGCTTTCCATCTCGCTCACACTCTCCACTGCCCGCCCCGCCCCGCCCCGCCTCGCCTCGCCGCTCTGCTCCACATGTGAGCTTGGACGGGAACCGGACTGCACCACAATGAGAGAGCACCCGCACGCACTGCCTGACGCGCCAAGGTTCGCGTGAGGCGGGGCGGGGCGGGGGTGTCGCGTCAAGAAGTTGGAGCTTTGGACCTGGGCACGGGCACAGCGACCCAGGGGGGACAAAAACCCCGCGCCACCCACCCACGCTGGCTGGGCCGCGGCTGCGCCTGCAACTCCCAGTGTGCCAGCGAGCTCCTCATGAACAATGCATCCGAAAAGTACGGCAACTTGGTGCTGGCCGCGGTCCGCGGTCCGTGTCGCCCCGCGACTGCGACTGCGACTGCCCGCGGCTAGCCGACGAGGAAACAATCATCAGGGAAACGGAATGAGGGGCCCTCGGCCTTCGGTGCCTTCGGTCCTCGGCCCGACCATCCAGCACGCTGATTCCGAGAGTCCGTTCCGTCGCTCTGTCTCTCTCGCACTCGCCGAACCCTTACGGTGGCGTGGGCCAACTATTGGCAAACACGCGAGGCGAGGGCCGAGCCCCAATTAGGCGTGCTTCGTGATGGGCAGCCAGCAGGCTGATTCCGAGAGTCGTTTTCGTCGCTCTGTCTCTCTCGCACCCACGCGGAACGCCCCACGAGTGCGACAGAGACGGAGCGACGAACACTACTTTGGAATCAGTCTGCAGGGCGGGCAGGGTGCAACACAGTCCGCTGGCTGCAGTCGGTGCAGTGCTCGTGTCTGGACGAACGAACGCGCCGGCGGGGGAAAGGGGGGAGGGGAGGGGAGGGGTTTCTTTATTCTCGCTTTCCAGTAATTAATGAATCGGACGTAATCAAAAGTTGCTTCGGCCACCTTTCTTCTGAGCCAGTCGTGCGGAGGGCCCCGGCCCAGGGAGAAGAGGCTACGCAGGCTAGGGTATTCAAGCCTGGGATGCGGCATCTTTCACTTCTGCTGCCATATGCCAAAGCTTCATTCATGTTTTGGCGAAGGCCGGGGCTGTGGCATGCTAATGGTGGGCATGGACCGCTACATCAATTAGAACAATCATGGGACAGCATGGCACAAAGAGAGCGACGAGGGACCAGTTGGTAGGGTGAGAGACAATTTACGCTTTGTACTCAAGTGAATGCAAGATGATGACTTAACAGGAAAATAAGTGTACAAATGGGCAAAGCACAAGAGCAAGAAACTTCAACGGACAGTGTTAGATCTTAAGACATACGTGACCCATGAAAAATAGATGGGTATTTTTAAAACAAAACATAAATGAAGGGTAAAAGAAACCTAAAAAATAAGTCAAGCACAAAATCAATTAATTTTTCAAACATTGTTTAAAAAATACAGGAATTCTTTAACATATAGAAGGCTCCTCAAAAAAAAATGTAGACATTTGAAGTTTGAACTAATGATTTAAAAATTTTAAGTTTAAAAACCACAGAGGAGCTTTCTACAAAATATTCGGGGATGCAAGTAAGGAAGTTTTACATGACTTACTAAGGAAAAATTATCTAATGACGCAAGGTTAACTGCACCACTAATTTGTTTTTTAAACACACTGAAGTGAGGTTAGGGTCACCATGAAGTCTATTTATGATAAGCTAATGCAGGCATTAATTTAAATTTAATCAAGATCACAGTCAAGAAAATTTTTAATTAATCTCCTACATCAGAGAAAAGTCCGATAATAAAACGAATGAGAAGACATCACGAGCAGAAACCGTCACACACCTGGTATTTACATCGAGACTTTGAGCTCAGGCTCAGAAAGGAGCGATTTGATAAATAAGACCAAGACATATGAAGGCATGAACTTGTGAATAAAATAGCGAAATAGGACACAGTGCGTCGAGAAAAGGGCCAAAACGGCCCAAAAGTTGACTTGTCGGCACTTTGTTTATTTTGGGCTTACCTCTTCTGCGGTTGTATATCCAACTAGTAGAGCAGCTATCAATAGGGTATATATCCTCAAATGCATCACCACACTTTGTAAAGTCGAAATTAATCGACTTTGCAAGTTTATCACACAAAATTGTCTATTTTGATAAAGTAATTCACACACACACACATACACACTGCACTCACACCTCCATACACTAATCAATGAACACTACAGTACGGGCCGCGGGACTACTTTCATGGCTCTCGGGACTTCGGGACGTAAACCGAGCCGACAGCACGGACCGACGTAACCCTCACGCGGCAACAACCAGCGGACGACTGACTTTTGAAGGGAGAGGAGGAGGAGGGAGGAGAGGGAGAGAAGGAAATGGGGAGGAAGAAAACAGAACTCCGGTCTTGCCAACAACGAAAACTGTGCCATGCCTCTCGGACTGGAACGTCCCGCCGCGCCGCCGCACAGAGAACTTTGACGCTCAAGCCGCTTTTTGGGCTAAATTTTATGAAATCCTCCAGTGCGTGATGGATTTTCTATCGATCCGATGCCATTTTTGCTTTGGGTTCAAACGTTGCCGGGTTATTCGGACCCACTGCCTTCCGTTTGTCTGCTCACGGCGAGAACGGAAAACATACACAAAGCAGAAGGAATTAGCGAGTGGCAGAAGTCAACCCATTCCGTCGTGTTTTTCGTTGTATCGCTAGAAAACAAGTACCAAACCAGCAGCTTTGATTATGTCTACGTTTTTAAGAGGTTCTTGCTCGTGTTATGCTTGGTTAGAAGTGAGTGTTTCATTTATTTTAATATTCAATAAGATAAAATAAGATAAGATAAATTTTTAATCAAGTTTCCTCTGCACAATTTTGCTATGTTTTAAAAGTGATGACAAAATATTTTAAAAAGATACCTATGTAGATACCCTTAATCTTTAGTAGGAAGTCAATTCGTTGTTGTCAGCAACATACAAGGAGAGCTGTATTTCGGGGCCCGATCTTAATTAAAATCTATCTTTCTATTTTCTTTCAGGTTTTCTGCATGATTTGAATTCCTATGATATTCCGCTCCCCATGTGAAGTTGAAGTTGAAACTCATCATGGCATTTCCAGTTCGATGGTGTTGGATATGGCTTAAACGCAATTGGATTGTAACTTTTCTATCATTGGTTCTGTTGGCTTTGCTCTTCAGTATATTCAGTCTAAAATGGTCTGATGTGGACTCTAAAGTGGGAAACCCCAAACCAGCTCTTAGTGAAGTGGCTGTATCTCGTTTGTCTTTATCACATGGCTCCAAGCAAACCAATAAGCTTTCAACAAATCAGAGTGCCAATGTCGGAGAAATTCGTGCCAAAATGTTGCGAGAGAAAATCCAGAAAATTTCTCAGAAAGTAAACAAACCACAAATGTCTGTGGACAATGTCAAAATTTTGGAGCCAAACCCTCATGTCCATGCATTTTATTATGCTTGGTATGGTAATGTAGCGGTTGACGGCAATTGGAGTCATTGGAACCATTTATATCTAACTAATTGGAAGAAAGAAGACAAGAAAGTTTACCCCACCGGAAGACACAAGCCTCCAGATGATATTGGTTCGAACTTCTACCCTTCTTTAGGATGTTACAGTTCACGAGATCCAAGAATCATTGATGAACATATGCGCATGATGCATCAGGCAGGAATAGGTAAGGAATTCAAACACATGAGAGCCTCTGTCATTGTGGTTTTTACTTGTGCATGACATCTTCTACAATGATTGTGTTTCATGTGTTACAGGTGTTGTTGTGCTATCGTGGTACCCGGAAGGTATGACAGATTCACCTGAGGACATTTTCCCACTAATGCTTGACACTGCCTATCGCTATGGCCTCAAAGTGGCTCCACATATTGAACCATACAAGAACCGTAATCCAATTAATCTTCATCAACATCTCAGCCACTTGATAATGAAGTAATTCTTGAGTGAACTTTATTTAATAATTCCAGTTTGGTTATTCTAACTACGATAACCAGTTCTTGAAATATGTTTAATAATACTTTTTGTACTTATTTTTCTCTCCTTTTTTCTTCTAATTTTAGATATGGAAGCCACCCAGCATTCTACAGACTGAAACGCTTACACCAGAGATCAGACGCCAGAGACTTGCCAGTATTTTACATTTATGATTCCTATTTGACTCCTGCAGCAGCGTGGCGGGAGCTTTTAAGTGCCAAAGGAAATTTAAGCATTCGTGGAACACATCTTGATGCAGTCTTCCTTGGACTCTTAGTTGAAATGCAACATCGATATGATATCAAAAAAGCTCATTTTGATGGTAAGATATTCTCAACCTCTTGGCAACACCCAAACTTCTATTCATTGCATTTTAGCTAATAAATCCGTTCATCAACTTTATCTTATATTATTCAGGCTTTTACACCTACTTTGCTACTAATGGCTTCACCTATGGATCTACTTGGAAAAATTGGCGAAGTTTAAGCAAATTTGCTCATCAAAATGGTCTTCTATTTGTTCCTTCTGTTGGGCCTGGATACATTGATACTCAGGTTTGTAAAATGCTGAACCCACAATCATTGAATATTTTATACAAGGTTTATAAAAGTCAAAATATGATTCCCTCTAGGTCAGACCTTGGAATATTGCAAATGCCCGACATCGAAGACATGGAAAGTATTATGAAGTGGCTTGGCGTAGTGCCTTATCTGCCCCTACTAACTATGTGTCCATAACTTCTTTTAATGAGTGGCATGAAGGTACTCAAATTGAGCCAGCAATGCCACATCAAACTGAAACCTTCACTTATATGGACTACAAGCCAGCTGGTACTGATTTCTACCTAAATTTGACCCGATGGTACGTGAACGAAATGTCAAAACGTAAGAGCACCTGAAATATCCATTTATTTTTATTCCAACGTTACTGAGTGTCTCGAAAATTTAGAAAATAACTCATGTTTAATAGCTTTCACATTTTTTACAACTTATTGTTCAGGTAGAGCAAAATGAAAATTTTGGTGTAGTTATACTACGTTACGCAGTGTTGACATCCTTCCATACACAGTGTCATGCCATACCATGCACAGTGTAACAGGAATGTCTGTTTAGGACCCTGAAAGAATTGCTTGACTGAGTTCTGCAGCTTTTAGTGATTGAATTCAGTATGAGGCAAGTATTATAATACTTGTTTGCTCCTTTTCTATTGTCACACGGTTTTGGTCATATTTTGTCCTCCCTCTAAGTGTTGTGTCTTTTCATTTTTTGTGATATTACCGTATCTAGCATATAAAGTGCTAGTGATGCCATGCTTGAACCAAAACACTGGTTGAATTCATCACTGCTGCCACTTGATGTATTGTTCATGGATTTGGCATTTGCCTCATCAGTTTAGGTTTATGGATTCTCTTCCTAAGAAATTTTCATGTGCAAATTCATTTTATGTATTGTTTTTTGTTCTTCAGTAGCACTGACAAAGTGAGCCAAATGTTGATTGATCGATATTAGAGTTATGTGATGACATTAAGCTTTATTAGAATCTTTTCACCAATCATAGATGTACATGGACTTTTAGTGTTTAGCGTCCATGCCATGCATTCCTCAATTTTCTTCAATTTAATAATCAATCATGTGTCTGTAGTGAAACCATCAGCTCTTGGCTGTGATGCTTTGTGACTTTAACATTAACTTGTGCATTTTTAAAGTAACCATTCTCCTGACTGTGATTTGTAGATAGTACTAAATAAAATCTAGTTAAATCTTAAAATATTTTTTTGTCTTTTAAGCTAAGTTTAGAGCCAATTGTCAAGGCACATTTCTGTTCTATTGATGCTATGACTTCCTAGTCTTGACATTAAATGGTTTTAAGTTCCCCAACCAAAGAGCTGGGAAGTTACCCTTCCAATCTGTTATAGAATAATCGGGCACTCATGTGGCAATATTATAAATGTAGCTCCTTTTTGAAGTGACTCCCTTTCACAGTTCATTAGTTTTAATTCTTGAACTACCTTCCTACTTGTTTATTGTGTCTTACATAATAAAACTCTACCTAATTGGACTAGTGTTTTGTCTTCTTTTGTAATGGATGTGCATTGCATGAGGCAACAAATGCAAATGAAACAAGTAGTGATAATGACACTTGAGCAAGCACTTTAATTTCAAGTCAGTTTTGAAACAACTTCACAAGCAGGTACAAAATACAACAGAATATTTTTGTTTTGTATTTTGGTAATCTTATTTTAAAGGAGTATTGGGAGGAAAAAGTGCAGCCCTTTCATGGAAGCTATGAAGCCATTAATGGCAACCATCAAAAGCAATTTGATAAGTGACTTCAATAACATTTAAGTGTGAGCAAAAGTACAAGAAAATTTTGGATCATTCAAATTACAAGGAACAAGAAGAAAGTTGAAATCAGGCAATTAATGATTCTTGTGCAAGTTTTGAATAATATATACTAAATATTTTTAAAAAGTATCATGAATAGATTGTGATAATGACCTTAAAGACCAGCTCCAACTGTCCTATTTCAGTCAGATATGAAAGATTGATTCTCCTACATTAAAACATGAAGTTTACAACCTTTATATGATAGGTACAAGAATATAAAATAGCCTTATGTCACGAGAAACCATAGGCGCTGCAGTCATCTGGAACCATTGCAAAAAAGGCATGCATGATACCAGAAAAAGGCATTTTCATAGACACAACCCACCAGTCGGCACCAATGTAGGTAAATCAGAAGACAGCTTTAGTGACATAAAAAGTGATACAATTCTCATTTACACAAAAGCCTTTCACAGTGGTGGAATAATGCTATAAGCATGAGTAAGAGACATATCGATTGACATTTTCAAAATAACACTCCTAAAAGATAAAAATACAACATAAGTGGCAATGCCACAAAGCAAATGAACAGTGGCTGTGAAAAGAAAGTACCAGTGGTTTTCTAGAAATTCTACTGATGTACATACAGTGTGTCCTTTAACAATAATACTCAAATGCAATTGAAACCATCTCAGTAAGTTATGTCTTGTCTAATAAATAATGTTTGAACTACATATACAGTACTTACAAGTAAACCTGAGAGACAAAAAGTTCAATAAATAAAGAGCACTTAATATTCAATTGTTTTTTCACACTCCAAATTAAAATCCACTCAGTTAGTCAGAAACAAAATCCGCAAGTAAGATGTAAGTGAGTAAAAAATAACCAGAAAAACATTCATATCTATGATCACATTATTAGTAACACTTTAAGAATTCTCAACAACAAAACATGTTTACTTAGCATATGCACATGTCAGTACAGACCACACACTCAACCAATGATAGAAATTAAATAACAAATGGGCACATTAAATGATTGATTGTATGCAATAAAACATCATTTTCTAGACAGAACAACCATGTAAACAGATTTTTCAACAACTAGCATCGTTGTTTTGATGTATCAGACCAGGTCTATTAAGTGCAGTGAATGCAGAAAATTGAGACCAAAACAAAAACCGCCTCCTAACATACATTAATCAGAAACGTAAAGGCACTTAAACTTACAAAGCTTGAGAGTATGTACAAATATACATGCTTAAAAAATAACAGTGAACTTCAAAAAGAAGCCAATCAGTCTTGCAGTAACCTCCTGAATAATTTACATCAGCTCAGTGCTAACTTTGGCCTCATTGACAAATAAGGGACAGACACAGCCAAAATTGAAGAGAGTGGATGATTTCATTGACAGTCTTACTTAATGTTGAGAAAACCGTGAATATTCCAACAGAACTTTTCAAAGTTGTCTCTGAAAAGATATCGATTTCCTCGCAGTTCTGCGCGATTATCTAGTTCAATAGATTCGGTAAGGTTTGTGAAGGCTGTAGCTAATCTTTCTGCCACCACAGGGTCCGGTTGGTTATGTAGGATAGTTTGAACAGCATGTTTGTAATCATCCTGAAATTTGAGGTAAAAATTGCCTTTAGACTTTGATGATGAGATAAATAGAAGGACAACTAAAATTAACACTTACCGGAAAGCAACAAATAAGGACAAAGAAAGTAGAACCCACAGCTGATTGAACATCTTGGGGTACTTGGTCAGACAGTATTAATGTTAAAAATATCTGAAATAAGGGAGATGAAAAGTTTTGGCAAAAGCAAGTACATAATATGTGATAATTAAACATATATCATCATAGCTCAGAAAACCTACATTGAGAAAAGGTTGGAAAGCCAAGTAAACTTCACTTCCTTTTGATACATTCTGTAAGACACTTGTGCCAAAACTATGCAAGAAGCTGCAGCATAACTGCATTACTTCCTGTCCAAAGGCCACCAGGCCCACCTCAACAGAGCCCAGCATTCTCTTGAGTAGGTCAGATGGCAGGGAACAAACCTACAATAACAATATAATAGAGAAGAGTGGCAGAGAGTGGGAAGCCTACATACCCTACATAAAAATACAAACAAAAGCAAACAAAACTTAAAAGTTGAATACTTTGAACATGACAGTACCTTATCTGGTATCATCTCTACAATGTACATGATGGTTTCATAGTATTGGGTGCAAAGTGTGGGGTACTTCAACAAATCACCAGTCATAAGTGGCATGATGATATTGAGTCCATAAATCACAACATCAGATGGAGACACACCAGGCTGCTGTCCTTCTGGAGAAGCTGCATGTCAAAAATTCAGTTTTACTTTAAGTGAAAACAAAGCAACAAATTAACAAGAAAACATCAGGAAGTACTTACGAGAAGTGCAAAGATCGAGGTAGTCCTTGGACAGCAAGTTTATGAGCAATTTCAAAAGCAAGAAAATGTCTCTAAAAGTTTCTTCTTCAGATGCTTTTGCCAAAGATAGTCTGTTGGTATTCCACTGTGCATAAGTCTGAATAGTTTGTAGGCAAGCAGTGTACATTTTCCTGCTTTCCTCCTAAAAATGACAGAACAGAAGTAGCTTATTATTAAAATTGCAAGAACTTTCTTTTGTCATGAACATAAGCTAGCACAATGAAACGATGGCTTCAGAAGTTAGGAGTACATCAAAACAGCTAAGACTGCTCTGAAGCAGTCAAATTTGTGCCTGCATAATAATAAAAATAAAATACATAATACAAAGAGAAAAAAAAATAGTCAAGCATGTACAGGTTAAACATTATAAAAATAAAATGTATATGCTCTCTTTTAAGAAGATAATACTGTACTTCATAGCAATTTGAAACAAAGGTATGTATGTGAAAGAACAAGCAAAAATCATGCATGTTAGTCTTTCACTCAAACTGAAACATTACATACTAAATATGGAGCATAGTCTTGAATGAGATGAAAACACAGCTCCAAGCCATGTCGCTTGTCTTCCTGGAAGACAAATATTCACTCTAAACTTCTCTCAATTATTCACAGAGAAAACACTTAAAGTGAGCCTAGAAACATTTTCTTGTTGGAACCATCATTTTGTCCTTTAAAAGAAGGCTTCTACATTGTAGAAAATGTGACTCAATACGTCTGTACTAGACCGCATTGGAATTACCAGCAAAACCACTACAGTATCTGGCAGTGCTGAAAGTCCTCATCAAGCTACAAAGGAAAATTTTATGTGAACAGAATCGTTAACAGGTGACCAAAGCAAGAGAACAAATCTTTTTCCTCTGAAGGAAAACAGGGGAGCCTGCACAGCTTATGAGCATTTAGGAAAGCCTTCACTCAGACAGAAATAAAACACTAGAACTAATATTGGATGGCAACGATGCGACATACCTGATTTAAGACACTCAATATTCTTCCAGCAGACTCTACATGCAACTCCAGAATCAGTTCAACAACATTTTGATAGTTGTGATAGAGGCCTATGAGTGTTGAGAATTCAGACAACACTGGTGCAAGATACTGGAAAACTGCTTCAGCTGTACTGACCAATGTTCCTTGAGCAACACCTGTCAGAAAAGTGCAGAATACAGGTGAAATGAGGAAGTCAAGAAATAAATAACACTGGCCTACTAAAATGCTTACCAATAAAGTGATCGAGAATTTCCATAATAGTTGATTTGACTCCTTCTTCATGATAATTTCTTGCAAAGTACTCATGGCACACAATACTCTTAAACCTGTCTTGAATTGGTTTAAGGATCTAGAACAAAAACTTGTTTGAATGCAGTAAAAATACACATATATACAGGAATATATACTTGAATGTAATGAACTTACCTGTGCCCAGTATTCAGCCCTGTTATTCACAGGTAACCCCGCAGCGGCCAGAACCAAAGCAGAATACAATCCACGTTTTGCTTCTTGAGGGAGTGTTCCTTGAGGTAGATTGTCTTGAAGATGTACTATGTTCAGGATTCCCTCTGTTTTCAATACACATCCAGCTCTAGAATTAAAATTGATAAAAAAGTGTTAGGATAAGAAGAAACAGAAAGTTTAACCTAAGCTTGTTCTTTCTTCGTAAACTATTGAAAATTACGCCTACTTTTCTTTGGTGCAAACCATGGCTCTGAACATTGCCACAGTTTCCTTAACAAGTTCAGGCTCTGAATTGAAGAATTTCAAATTGGACTCAATTTTTCTAAGGAGAAAGTTTACTGTCCACGCTACTCCTTCAGTGTCAGCACCAAAAGCAGTCATAATTGCCATACTCATCTGCAAAAATTAAATGGTTGTAATAAATTACAGTCCAAGAAAAATCGTGCATGTAAGTGTTTTTTTGTTGTTGTTTTTTTTTTAAAGTGAATTGTACCTCAGAGTAATAAGTTTCCACCGGCAGAAGGTAACAGCCACACCATCTTTCTAAGCACCACATAAGAGATCTGCCAACTTCAGGACTAAGAAAATGTCCCAATTTAGCTTCTGCAGCTTTTCTCTCTACTTCACAAAGCCGGAAGAGGGCTGCAATGAGCCTGATTATGTGATCTGAACTTTGCTCAGCTCCAGGGATATCAAGAATATGGTGATCAGGAGAGGCAAGAACCTTCATGGTCGTATCCATGTTTATAGAGCTTGCTTGTGATATGCTGTGTTTAATGATTTCACTTGGAATTTGTGGTGTCTCCCCTTCACTGTCCCAAGTCATGACATTACCTGGACAAAGAGAGTAAAGTGAAATAAATTAACTCACAAAACTAATAATTTATGTACAGATTGTTGGGGGAACTTACCTGATATAAGGACTAGCCAGTGAATGTCTTCACTCAAATTGTTTAAAATATTAGAATCACTGATATGCATAGCTTGCTGGCTCATGCGCTGTAGTTGCCCATGCAAACGGCCTGTTCTCTCCTCTAATAGTTTGCAAAGAAGGGGCAAGGAATGGCTAAGCACTTGTCTACCAAGAGCCCCAACAGATTGTAACTGGTCTTTGAACTTAGTTTGGTCATCCTCTTCTATTTCATCAATTTCTTCAGCCTCCAACTCCTGGCCCATTCCCCTTGTGCCATCAGGGGGTGATAAATGGCACTTCAGATAAGTATTAAAGATCTGAATGCAGAAATCTGGGGGGAAGACACTTGCTTTTCGAACAATACCAACACAGACACTAAGTAAGTTTTCAAATGCCTCCATGTACAAAGTGTCCTCAACGTTCATAGATTCTTCATGGGCAGCTCCTTCTCCAAAGAGGCATGTTAGTCGAGTAAATTGTTGCAGAAAGTTGACAAGAAGCTCTTGGTTGATGTCAGTGAGCCAAGACGGAGATGCACAAAGCCACAATTTCCGTACCATGTTAGAGATACCGAGGGCCTCCCTGTCTAATATTTCAACACTGAGAAAACAAAACAAAACAAGAACTTAAATTAAAGTACTCATGTGTGATGTTTGCTTTTAATTTTGGTCTTTTGAAGCAACAACAAAACACTTAGAGGAAATTCATCAAAACATTTAAAACATATTCCATACCAACCTTGATACAAGATTAAGGAAGCATTGAATGTAGGCAGTTAGATATGCTATTTCATCGGACTTGGATGCCATTAAAGGGCCATGCAATGAGGCTAACTGGACCAAGCAAGTCAGAGCATGATGCGCCAATTGAGGGTTGTCACGTACATTCCAATAAATCTAAAAAAAAAGTACCTAAGTAATTCAACTCACATACAATAAAAATAACCGATAAGGGAATTGATATGGAGCACTTACTTCAAAGAAAATATTTGGTTGAAAAAGAACGTTTTTCCACTTAGGACACCTTGGACACAAGGAAGGGTTATCCCCAAGTTCATATCGTACTTCAACTAATCCAGCAAGACTCTTGAAAAGCGGTAAACAAGACTGTCAAGGAAAAACTTCTTACAGCACTATCAAAGGATTACAAGATTCCGAATGGGTGCTGCCAAGAGCTGTACTAAAGACTGATAAGATTGCGTAAAAGGATATGTCGCCGAGTGGTAAATTGCCAGGTAAGGACACCCTCCAAGATGGACAGCAAATGTTTCATGAGAACCAAAACTGTTGAATTAAAGGGCTTTTCTGCTTTGATTAACTCAGTAGTAGCACGAAGACAAAACTCAAATATACGTTTCAAGTCAGTAGACTGAAAAGAAAACCACAACAAATGCATATGTAATGCCACACTTCAAAAATGTAAACTGCAAGAAAGAAAAACAACCAAACACCTTTAATTACCTCAAAATTTTTTTTAACTTTGTAATGGTCTTCATATCTTAGTCCTATATCTGCAGATTTCACTGTTATGGCATGTTCCTGCATGATGGCTGACATTAAACTGCAGCCAAGAACTTGCTAAAAAACAAAAGTCATAAATTAGAGGTATGTATAGAAAAAATTGAAACACAGGCAAAGAATTGAACAACAGCTAATTATTTTCAAAGAAAAAGAAAAGAAGTTATGAAAAGATTCTTTTTATTATAGTTTTGAAAACCTTACTCGAGGAAGGTCACCACTCATCACAAGCATCTCAATTTCATCCAGTAACTTGGATCGCTCTATTCCAAACTCTTCCCGCCTTTCTAATACGTATCCAGCAACACCAAACTCATTGCCACGTCTTTTTACCATAATGGCTATGACCTAGGAAGACAGAATCAGATGTTTCCATTTAATAGAGAACAAGTTTTAAAGCAGATAAACCAACATGAAAAAAGCATAAAATACCTGCAAGATTCGTTTCTCGAACAAAGGTAGCAAGAGTTGATTTTTCTACAACATAACTCAACAGGTACTGTTGAAGTGATTTGATTTCCTCGTCTGTGAGCAGAGTCCACTCACGAATAACAGCTTCTTTGATGAGTCCAGCAGCCTCAAAGAGAACATAATCAACTTTGCTAGTTTCTGAAAACAAAACAACTTGTTAACACATTAGGAATTACTTGAATATAGAGAGTAGGAGCTAGTACTTACGGAGAATGTGTTTGCATAACTCATAAGGTGATTTTGTTTTACGAAACTTCATAAAGACTGCTTCTGCAGCATGTCGCTGTTCTGAAGTCACAATGTTGGGAGGTGCCTAAAAGCGAAATGGGTCAAAAATTTTAAAAAAGCAAAAGTAGCAAAGCACACAGTTTAGACAAAAAAAAAATATTTAGTTTATAAACATAACCAAATTGTGACGGACGTCGATAGTAAAAGTCAAGGTGGCAGGAATAAGGCAACACTTGCTGGTTACAGCGATAAATTCAACATGTCATTTCAAAATTTTAAGAGTCGAGATTCAAGAGTGTTTCTAGATTAAAGGGGAAAAAGTCAACGCGGGAGTTAGAGTTGAATGAAAACTTTGACATACCAACATCACTTGGGCAGCACCTTCTAGCTCTTGTAAAATTTGGTCCCCCATGATTTGAGAACTCCAAGAAAATTAAGTAAGGAGCGATATGTGTAGATAAAAGTTTGGAAGTTCAATTTTCATTCCCTAGCGAATGTGTGTTGTGAGATGGCCACACAGGAAGAAAACAATGGGGAAGAAGAAGAAGAGGCCCGCGCCTTCTGCTGGATCCCGTTCGGTTCGAAGGCGAACACGGGGATTCTTTGGCCGAACACAAATAAGTGTGCTCTCCGTGCGTTTGTAGGAAAAGGCAAGGGGAAAAAAACTCGTCCAATGTCACACTCGTTCAAGGCCATTGTTTAGAACCGGGTTTTGGGTCGTAGTTCACTGCTTGCACTTGCTGTCTGGGGCGTAGCAGCACCGTGAAGACACCGGCGTGACTCAGCCAGTTGCGTGCTTTACTTTCCTTGGATTATCCATCAAGTAAAACCCTTCCTTTCAAGATGCCCGTCAAAGCCGTCTGCGTCCTCATCGGCGAAACCGTCAAGGGAACGGTTAACTTCGAGCAAAGTGTGAGTACCTGGAGTGTGAAGATGACACCACACATTCTGGAAAGATTCCATTGCACCTCATTAGGATTCAGAGGAATGACTTTCGACACTTCATGTCTTCCAAGATCTGTGACATGTCCTGCTTGATTTGCCATGTTTTAGTTTTATGAAAGTTTGTCTATTATGTAACGCTACTTTGCTTAGTGACAGCTTTTCTAATGTGCTAATGTGTCTCGTAGGATGCCGGATCGCCTGTGCAGGTGACTGGCCAGCTCGCTGGTCTTTCCAAAGGACTCCACGGCTTCCATGTGCATGAATTCGGTGATAACACCAATGGTAAGAAATCATTTAGTCAGCAAAGTATACATTTTAAAGTGCTACCTTCCACTAACTTCACTTTTCATCTTGTATGCGACTTAATGATCTGCAATGACTAGTCAAAAGAATGTGACGCTATGTTTTAAATTGTCTGTTGTCAGGTTGCACCAGTGCCGGCCCACATTTCAACCCTCAGGGAAAGGAACATGGTGCTCCTACTGACGCTGACCGCCATGCAGGTGACTTAGGAAACGTTGAAGCTGGTGCTGATGGTGTTGCTAAGATCCAAATCTCTGACAAACTCATCAGCCTGACAGGGCCTAACAGCATCATTGGCAGGACTGTCGTTGTAAGTTCATGATTTAGTCATTCTTTGAGAACCACTCTTACAGAGTCAGAATACATTATTCATGTTTTTGTTCAGGTTCACGCAGACCCAGATGACCTTGGCAAGGGAGGCCACGAGCTGAGCAAGACCACAGGAAACGCAGGTGGTCGATTGGCATGTGGTGTTATTGGTCTTGCTAAGATCTAAGTTGAGTACCTGTTAAACAAAACTTAGATGTTTTGAATTTATTCCTGTGCTTTGTCCTTTATCTTTATGATGAAGAAATTGTATCAGATCATTCATTCCATCAATCAACTCCGGACTATATAAGTATGTTTTGTTTTTTAAAAAAAGTTGTGTACCTGTAATTCAATAATGGTTTCAATAAATGTGTATGGGAATCAAACTTGCTACTTTTATTGAGAACGTGTGTGAGCCGTGACTAAAACATTGTAATGAATGCATGAAACTGATGCTCAGTCATGGTTCAATGGTCAAGAACACTTGGTCTATTAAGGGAATAAGCAAAACAAATTGAAAAATAATTCATCAGATTTTATTTAGTGGTCAGTGCTAATGCTGTGCTTGCCAGTCCCATACTCACAATATCACATACATGAGTACCTGGAAATAGTCCATTTACATGGAGACAGAAATGGGTTACTTCTATTATATGTTAAGGTACATACAGTCCATGAAGAAAAATGAAAACAACTTTTAGATCAAGAAGTAGAAAAGTTGAAGAGTGAAACGCAACCCACCCCATGAACCAAGAGGGTAAAAAGCTTACCTGCCAGTTTAGGGCAAAACTTAACAAATTCAATACGCATTCAATCAATAAAATTTCTAAATATGCATCTAGTAACTGACTCCTGTCATTTTTTATGAAAAATTTCAATAGGGTCATAAAAAATTACAGGACTCAGAACTAACTTAGAACACAAGATAACAACCAACTAACAGACACCAAAACACGAGACTACATTGGCTTAAAAATCAAATAAAACTTCATTCTCTTGCTAATGATGAACACAATAAAAAAAATCATGCAACAATGTTCGTTATTATTTTTTTAAAAATAATATGCTGCCATTAAATTTTGTACCAAAATATCAGATTATTGAGTATTTATGACCCCACAGGATTCCCAAAATGCTCATATACCTGCCAATCACATTTGAATTGTCGGTAACAAACAGTGCAAAGAAAAACCATAGCTGATACAGAATGTACCTTGGAAATATAACTGTACGTACAGTCTCTTTCCAAGGTACATCCTGTATCAGCTTAGAAGTGAGTGGTTTCTAGACTAAAGGACAAGCAATTGTTTTCCTGTAGCAGGGGTGAGATTATTGTTACAATCTTTCTTATTCCTCACCACATTTAAAGGAGTTTTAGAGCCTCATTTTGTGTGAGAAAAAAATAAAATTGTGGTTCTAGTTTCATAGTCCACGAGTTAAAACATAACAAATCATGTCAGTCAAATAAGAGGCTGTCTCTGCATTATGTTTCTTGGTAAGATCAGAGACCATAGAATTCTTTAACAGTGGAGTCTGCAGTGTAACACAATATTGGTAGTGAAGTGCTCAGATGAGGCCAAGCAGAATAAGCAGACAATCTGATCAATTGTGGGCCAAAACAGCCTATTTTTGAAACAGCCCTAGTTCAGTAAACGAGGACGATACCCTCGGCCAAGACAGTTTGACAACTTGAAATAGCCGATTTATGACATACAAAGACAGCCTCCAAGCAAGAGTCCAGCTTTCATTTATGGCGTGTACTTTTACGCGTACCATCCAGCCCCTTTGTGCCAACTTTAGGGGCTAGACTACGCAATTTTCATTTCTTTTTATCTTGAGTTTTATTAGCAGCAGCTGCCTTTTTCTTCATCATCTGCAGACGCTTGTCTGCAGTTATCATGTTTATGTTTTGCATTGGACCCTTACTAGAATTAGGAGCTTTGATAAGTTTCGAAGTAGAAACTCCACTTCCTGATGAACTGCTTAAAGAGCTTGATTTACCAGTTGATTTAGATGGACCTGTGAGACAAAAAAGAAATACAACTAATTCACATGAAATTTAAAGATTCTTTGTAGTGAAAATTATTACTTCTCATTAAGTGTCAATTTGGAATACCACACACCATTAGAAGACTGCTTAATTACTGAGGCAGTAAAAAATTTGGAGCTTGTGAATGGTGGGTTCCCACCTGAGGTGGAGGACTTGGGCAAGGGAGAAGGATGACTTGAATTTAAAATAGAAACAACAGGTTTGTTGCTCTTTATAGTTGATATCTAGAGAGAGAAGGAAAGCATGTTAAGAGACTAATTTCTTTCAATAAAATAATTGTATGTACTGAATAGCTCAATGGAGTAAATTTAACTTACCGCTTTGTTCAATGTTTTCTTACAATCGGCACAATACCATGCCAAACGGGGGTCATTCACAGGTATTTCAGCCTCATTGATTGGTGGTTGATGACATTCTTGATGATACAGTTCATGACACTCTTGGCACTCCACGAGCCGATTACCATCACCTTGCATCATTTGCCTGGGAATTTTTTTTTTTAATTATTAAAAAGTGATAACAAGGATAAATTACCTGAATGGATTGATCATACTGAAAAAGATAACTTTACCTGCACACTACACAAAGAAGGTCCTCTTCTAAAATATTTAGCTCATTTAGTTCATCATCAGGTGAATTATTTGACTCTTCTGAATCGAGATCTTCCATGTTTTCAGCTTGACTTGGGCTAGGTGATGTATCTTTGCTAGATGACTCCTCAAACATTAGCTAGAACATAAAACATATAGAGTAAAACCCAAGTCACTTCAAAATTTCTAGGTACAGAAAACTGTGGATGTTTTTAAATTTTGCTTACTGTTTTAGGAAGTACTGAAGTCAATGCCTTGTGTGTTCCATATTTTTGCTTCAAGGCATCATCAAGCATCGCTCTCATTTGATCAGCGGAATCTGGCTCATCACTGAATAGCAACCGATACGCCTTTGAGAATGTTGGGTCTATGCTTACCGTTGCCCTGAAATGGATAAATAATTGCGAGCAATGGTTGAAAACTCAAGCTGTTTTGCACCCTTACATTACCAAAAGTATGAAGTGAAACAGGAAAATGAAACAACAAAATGTAACCAACGCCATCAACAACGAACCAACAGACGGCGAAAAGCAAGTTAAAGCAAACAGTGTGAACTGTCACTACGTTGCAACACGTCCAAAATATCGAGAATTTCTATGGACAACACCCACGATCGACGATGCAACCCGCACGACAGTAAACTACACATTACAGAGTGCCTGGACTTGCAACGCAGAGATAAATGACTAATTCTTTAATCTGGGAACATACTTACATGACAAAACAATTTTTACGTCTCTTTAAGCAGGTGACACCATTAAAATTCGATAATATGGGAGCAGGCTCTCAGCGCAGTTCCACAAAGTGCATTGCAGACGACGACAGTACGTAACAACAACAACAACTGTGACAACCATAAACAAAAACGCAAGTGGTGCTGCCAACTGTCGCCAGCACATCGGACGCCGTGGATGCTTCAAGCACGATTTTCAAAATTAATTTTATCGTAAGGAAACTTGTCAAATTATTTTTTGGCCAGTAAAAATTCATGGTACCCCTGGACTTTCAGTGAAGGAGCAAGGAGCCGACAAAGGAGTTGGAGGTTGGAGATTATAGTGAACGCCTAATTTTTCATATCAGCCTGGAAAGGCAACGCATGCTCCGAACGCAGCCCATCTCATTCCTATCTCTGTCACTCCTGTCGCGTTGAACCGAGTGCGACAAAGACCCAACATTACCGGGCTCTGCTTTCGAACGCACACCTTGACGCGCCACCGCCGCGCCGGCCGTCAGTTGTGTTTTGCGTAACGATCTTCCCGGATTCAAAAAATTGGGAGGAAGGGGTCCGGGAGTTTAGGGGATTCGTCGGGGTTTTAGATTGCCCATCATTCTTTATTGAGGCAGTGGATTAGTAGCCATGCTCGTCTTTCTTAGACATTTTATCTCATAAACAGTTTATTTTATAATCTAAGTTATTTTATTTATTGATATTACGCTGTGAAGTTTTTAACCCCGCCGCTGCTTTCAAAGTAAGTTCACTTATCTAACGTTTTGTTTTCTTGTACACCGATCAATTAGGATGTCCCGTAATCCTCGGTTTCGGTACTTTCTATGGGATACGGCTGTCCCCTTTCTGCGAGCCGGCAAGCCGTGCAAGGTGTTAGGCCACACTACCGTTTGGGCGCTACGTCACTGTACGTCTCAGGGTGGATGGGATGATGTTGATGCAGAAGAACCGCTCCTTGTCGTTCCTTGTATCAACTTGGTTAGGGCATGGGTCTTCATTCCTTACACGTTCTGTACTTTCCTTTTCTCTCATGACAAGTGTTTCTATGTCCACCGCCTCTTTTCATTTTGTCTCTCTGTTTGCGTTACAGATGGATGAGGTAGAAATGGACCTCAGTGAGCCGTCTGGAGAAAGTCCCCGGACTTTTGGAAATGTTACGTTCAAGCCACCGAAGACTGTGAATCGCAACAAGCTGCATCCATACACTATGTACGAAAGCAGTGGGTACATATCTGCAAGCTCTCCAGAAATGAATTCAACAACAGGAAGTTTACCTTGTAGTACAAGAATGACCAGAAGACTGTCCAATGACTCACAAATGTCAGTGAGCCCTGAGTGCTCTTTTCGTGCCAACATGTTGCGGTCTATTGAAGCTTCTCCTGACTCTGGATTTGATAGTGAGAGTGTCTGTGGCTCAGTTGGCTCCAAGACTGATTCAATAGTTTTGGATGTGGATGTGGACATGTCAGTTCCGCCTGTGTCCGGAATGAAACGTCCAGCAGCTCCAGAAGTGCCTGGTTCAGCACATTCTTGCAGACTGGAGGTCAACTTTAGTGAAATTGGTCCTCACTTGCAAAGCACACCAGTTTATGCTGGTTCCAAACCCAGCTGTGTTACCTTTGCAGACAGTTGTGTTTTTCAACTAAGCCCCTCAAAGCGCAGGAGGCCATCTACTAAGAAGGCATCAAGAGATTTATTTCAAAGTAGACAAAAGGGGACCTTGCCATCTTTCTCATTAGATTCTCCTTCTACTTCAAGTGCTGAACTGCCATCATTAGCCGGTCGTGAAAGTGTAGATTTTCTATTCTATCTTGGAAAGCGGTCAGTGCATCAGCCTGTATTGGACTTAATCCTGGGGCACCTCAGTCCAGCAGATCTCTGCCGAGCCAGCCTGGTTTGCAAATCTTGGAAGAGTATAATTGAAAATATACCTTCTGTTGCAAGAAAGAAACAGGATTATGTTGATAGTTGTATGGAAGTGAAAGAGAATGTGACCCAGGTTAGTCAATAAATTTCCGTAAGTGCTAATTTTTTGTGCGTTTGTGTTTTACTTTTATTCATTTCTTATTACAGTCTACCAAGAAAACTGGTGCTGCTCTCCCATTCCGTGGCCAATTAATTGAAGTTCAGAACTACAACCATCCCGAAGAAATTATTTTGCCCGAACCACGAAGTCCTCCAGTCAGTCCAAGTAAAGTCAGATTTAACTTATTTCTAAAGGTGAGTAAATGTTTGTTTCATTCTACAATCTTAATGTGTAAACACCTAGGTTTTTATATATTCTTTTTATCTTTTTCTTTTTACCACAATGATTTTTTTCATTCAATTTTTAGGAGGGCCGCAAACTAGAAGATGGACAGACCTTGGTCCAATGTCCACAGTGCAAATTGCCTGCAAGAAAGGAAGCAGAACCTGCCGCGAGGTGCACTAGAAGAGGCTGTCAATTTTACTTCTGCGTTCTTTGTCTTTGCAAATTTCATGGTGAAAAAGTATGTCCCGTTTCTGCCGTTAAGCACCGTAAGCGTCAAGTAGCCATTGGTAGCCGGGAAAGCCGCAGGAATCTGCTTCGTTTATGTAAGTAAATTGTTTGTTCTATGTTTCCAGTAATCAGTAAGGCCAATTGTGATACTAGCTATACAGTATTTTTGTAAAAATGTATAAAGCATAAAGATTATCCAGTGTTAAATTTAAATTATTATATCAGTAACTTTACAATCACACCCTCCGAGGTTTAAATTATTATTCAAGATGAGATTGTAAAGTTCAAGTCAAAAAATGAGGTTTAAGATCAAATTATCAAAAAATAGTACAAATGAATGTTTTATGCGTAATTGTTTTATGTTTGGTGGAAATACTGTGAGTTTTTATTCAGTGACTTTGTAAATTTTAATGATTTTAAAGTGGCTCTTTTTATATATAGTATCCAAATTACAAACACCCTAGATTATATTGAGAGTTAGGTTCTTTTTTCACCATTTTACTGTCTAATTTTAATCCTGAGCTCTTCCGCTAACATTGTTGAGTACCTGAAACCAATGTTCTGTCATATTTTTAAATGCACTTAAGTACAGTCAAAGTGGGAGGTAATGAAAGGTTGTTTGACCATATGTCAGCAGTTTTTGTTCTTCAGATCAGTTTTATTATCATGAAACAAGTAATATGAGCCATGAACTACCAAAAATCCTTTAAAAAAAACCTAGAACAAGAAATAAATATCTTTGGATCTGAGACAGAACAAAAGAGTTCTTATTCTTGTTTGCTCTCACACAGCAACCTTCTCCTAAAACATTGAACAATGTCAAAGGCTAAGGGTACCCAATATTTAATGGACTTAACTCCTTTTAACTCATCGAAATGAGCTTCTTTCATATTTTTCTTTCATCTAGCACACAGTTCCATTATGCAAAGTACTGTCCTCTAATCAGTGCAGTATGACTTGATCCTGTTGCTATGAGCAGACTCCATTAAGCTCAGTGGTAATCCACCCAAACAAGTCATTAAATATACAAAGAGATTTATACAAAATATATTACAGTATTCTTTTTTTATTGTTAGTTTGTTTTTTGCATCTTAAGCTTACGCCGAGTAACTAAGTCCTTTATGCTCCTTGAGGTTTGCGTTTAAATTTAGTGACAATAGAATTGCAACTACAAGAGCAAAGACAGAAAATGAAGAACTGAGGAGCGAGAGTAACAAATATTTGTCCAGAACATGTGCTTTTGCTCCACCCCTAATTCATGGGCTTGGCTCAATCTGCTAACATTATAGTTATATTTCCCTGAAGAAAAAAGATGTGGAAGACAAATGAGCCCTCCATGGCGCTCAATACACTCGCATTGTCAGTGGCAAGAATTTAAGTCTCCCTGATTACATCTATACACATGTACAGAAAAGTACAAATCGTAATACAAAGCATAGCGTGTACACATTCCATTTTCTTATGATTATCTTCCTCTCTTTGCATTGACTGACAAGAACTACAATAACTATCCAAAACCAACATCAACAATTGATTTTAATTAAAAATTAAATTCACAGGTCTTTCATAAGAGAAGGTATTAACAATATTTACAGATTTTGATTGAGCAATTTTGCTGAAAAATAGAGAGACATTTACTTGCCAAGTGGAAGTTTTATTATCCAATCTAGTCAAGATTATTATCATTATTTTTGCACAATTTTTGGGGCAGATTTTCCAGGTATTGAGACTGCCTATATCATCAAGACCAGTTAAAAGTTAGATTCTGCAGGCATGTTGTTTAAAACAATACACAGAATGTATGAATCATCACAGCCCATGTTCACACTTGAGTTCCCGGTTCCAAGGCTAGTGTTGTCAGGGAAAACACAAATTGTTGTTGTATCTTTCTTCATGAAAGAAGCTTCTTCTAGCAGGGTCTTCAAATGAGATATATGTGGCACAACCGTGCATGACATGGCACATGCAGCATGTTCATTAATGTACACTAAGTAACACAACCTACTGAAAGTGTTACAAATCTTGAAGCACTTTTTCTGTCTGCATGAAATTGTTTCTCTTGTTGTTTCTCTCAATTTAAATGCCTCTCATTGTTCTTGCACAAACCATTCCAATAATCATGCGCAGATTCAAACACAATGGAATGGCAAATGTATTTTTTCCTAGCTTTTCAAATGGGATGAAAGGCATTTATCCTAGACCAAACACATATTTTGGTATTTGGTAAGTGAAGGATGGGATTGCCATGATCATTGACATCCTGAAACAGATGGAGAAATCGCTGTAGTATTGTGACATTATCATGCGTTTTTACACCATAATAGTAATGCATACAAACTATGATAAAATATTTGTGCAAATCTAAAAGACAGTAAGGCAGGCAGAGGAATAGTGAGTGCTTACCAAAGGGGCGATGGGCAACATAGTTTGATGAGAAAATCCATCACCACCATCAGTGACAAACAGAAACCAACACCAGTTGTGCGTGTGCACCATCACCATTAAATATTAGTTGATGTAAAACAAAATTGTGTCCTTAGAGGCTACGAATTAAGGTGTTACTAAATAGCATCTATCTGCAACGTAAATTAATTGGGCCCATCAATGAACAGCTTGTCCTAGAATCGGGTCTCATTTTTAACTTGAAGCAAAAGAAAGATGTTTTGCAGTCTCAAAGATGGAATATACCATAGTACAAATGGTTATTTTTCTAGTTAAGACCACCAGTAAGTGACAATAATTAAAGCTTTTCGAATAGCATGCCCAATCCAAAAAAATGGAACATACGAAAGTGCCAAGCCATTATAGATCCAAGCTCGCCATCCTGTTCTTGTATTTGCATCAATACGACTCTCGATTTCTTGACATAGTACTTTCCGGTCATGAGATTTTCCTGATCTCAAGTCACAAACCATCCTCTTTTTACATTCACCATCACAAGGTGGTCGCCTAGGTGAACTTTTCCAATAGTGCCTGTTCAAAAACAGAAATGTAAAATTAACAGGAATGAATAACATAGAATGTCCTGATAGTTGAAGGATCCCTTACTTGTAATAATTATCAAATAGAGGTCCATCTTGAGCAATTTTATTTATAAGGGTATCCCACTCTTGCGGCAGAAGAGAAGGCAATTGGTATGCAGCTCTTGCTGAGTACAACTTGTACCAAATTGGATAATCATACGCGTTGGCTTCCTTAAGGTTCATTACCCATGTTTCATGGTCTATTACAGCCTATTCACAATAAAACAAATTACAGATTGAAACATGCTCAAAAATTCAAGACTTGGTCATTTATGTCTGCTTTAGAAACACTTACCCTCGTCGTGTCTTTATGATCTCCATCAACATAGTAAATTCTGTACCCTGGGTTGAGATCATAATAGGGTGTAACAGATGGTCCTATGTATGCAATACTGACTGCTCTTCCAAGATCTTCAGTGTCATAAAACAGCTCAAATTCGTCATAATGGGTGTGTCCAAAAAAGAGAGAGACTATTGTACTTTCATATCTGAAAGAAGAAAATAAGTGAAATATTTAGAACACACAGTGGCAAAATATTTGTTCACCAGCAAAGAATTACTTTGAGAATCCTCACCTATTCACAATGCGATAAAAGTTTCTACTCCAAACTTTGAGACAGTCTGAATGTCCTGGAGGGATATGACCAATTACATGTACTTTCTCTTCATTGAACTCAGCACTTTGGAGCTCATAAATAAACCACTGTAATTCCTTTGCTGGGTCAGTGCTGTTTAATAAAAGCCACCTGAAAATTTATTGACCAAGTTAAAAATAACAGTTTTAATAGAAGGTGACAATAAAAATTACTTAAGTATACTGCCACTGACCAATTTTTATTATTACAGTAGTTCATGTTTAATGAGATGACCCTAAATCCAGGTCGAACAAGGACACTGTAAAACGCTCCTCTCCTCACAGTGCGAGACACACTTGATGGCAACCATTGCCGCCACTGAGCATCAAGTTCATCATACAGCCAATTTATAGAATAGTCATTCTGAACAAATGGTGGAGGAAAACTGAAAGAAACAAAAAAGTTTCAACCTACTTTATGATGTGATTGTTCATAAAATCTACCTCTTGTCAAACTCAAGTTATAAAAATACCTGTTGACTGGGGCAGCTTCATGATTGCCCAAAGCAGGAAATATTGGTATTCCAGGGAAAAGCTGGGCCATCTGAGCAACAGTTTCCTTCAGAATGAAGAGATTTTCTTCCCTTGTTTGATTCCACACATCATGAGGAGGGAGATCACCTGTCCAAATTATGTAATCTATGTCCTGTTCATGATAAAAGAGAACATAGTAAGTGTTTCATTCAATTAAAATTTAAAGTAAAATTAAGGAGCATGAGAGAAAGATACAAACGGGATGTGTGCTTGCTATATGTTGAAGCATGTGGTCTACAGTCCTTTTCGGTGTATCACATTTCCTGTAATCTCCCCAGCGACCAGCTGCTGCTTGGGGGGACAGTGCAGGACCGTTAGTCAATCTACAGCAAAGTGGTTCATTGCAATCTGCATTTGTTCCTTCTTGATAATAAGGGTCATAATGAGTATCTGACAAATGAAGGACTTTGAATGATGGTGCTCCTTCCTGAATGACAAATTAAAATGCAAGATAAGAAACGACTCGCACACAGAGCCATGACCCATATGAGTAATGTGATTATTCTTACTGTAGGCACTTTAGGTTCAGGAACTTCTGGTTTGGGCACTGGAGGAAATATCACTTTCCATTCATGGAATGGATTATAGACATCGCCACAAGCATCACCAATCACAAAGGAGCAAACTTCTTCCGGGCCAAGGGAAACACGTTTCAACACATGCACAACTTCTCCCTGTAATAAATCAACATATACGTGGTGAAAAGTGCACTGAATAATAATATTTCCGACCAGATCCACAAAAAATGCCTACCCCAAACAGTTCAGTAAGACCCTCACACACTCGAGGCGACTGAATTTTTAAACTAACACAAAATTGGTAGACAATTTTATTGATGTCATCTCTGCTTTTGCCTCCACGGATGTAATGCTGGATAAGACCAACACCTAAAACGTTGAAACAAGTTTAAACCCATGATACCGCATCCATATCAAAAGTGTGGATAGACTTGTACCGGGAAGGGATCTCACCTGCTTTGCACGCCGTGCACGACACCTTGGACATGACGCTCGTCTCGATCTCCTGCACGACCTGCTTCAGGTCGAAGAGCCACAGCGCCTTGTCCACGATGCGCGGCAGCCCTCGGCCCGCGCGCATGTCCTCGGCCCAGGCGGTGCCCTCCAGGTCGGCCAGCAGGCTGGTGTAGTTGACGCGGAGCAGCTCGAACTGGCGCGCCGTCTCCACGTCCAGCTGCGCGTCCGACGGCGAGGCCGCGTCCGCCGGGGCCGACACGACGCCGGGGAGGGGCAGCACGTGCGTGCGGTTGAGTGGCCGCAGCACGGCGCTCTGCACCGCCGGCACCACGTCCACGTCGTTGGAGTCGCCGACGACGACGTCCCCCTCGACGACCTGGTAGCGCTCGCCGGGCAGCCCGGCCCCCGTCAGCCCCGTCACGTCCCAGTCGTCCTCGGTGGCGAAGGGCTCGTCGGCGGTGGCGGTAGCGGTGTCGAGGGGCGGCGCCCGGCCTGCCCCCTCCGCCGCCCCCAGCCCCTCCGCCGTCACCACCCCCTCCGCCGCGAACGCCTGGAACGTCTGGCTACCGGCGGGGACGACGTTCCTGGCGATCTGCCGCGCCACAGGCCCCCCTGGAAGGAAAAGCAAAGCGCAGAGCTTGAAAACGGAACGGGCGCACAGCGCAGCACGGCGCGCAGCACAGCGGCACTGGTAGCCACTCACCTGACACGCACGCGGCCAGCACCAGCAGCAGGACGATGACGACGGAGGAGGGGGTCATGGCGGGGGCGGCGACTGGCGGCGGCGGCCGCATCGTGGTCTTCGGTGTCTGGCCGGTCTGTCACACTCCTGCAACGCCACAAGAAACGGTAAAGAATGCGTTTGAGTTGCTGTGACAGGCGGACGACAGTGATAGCGCTGTGGTCGAGGTCGATCCGTCACCGACTGTCACACTGCGGACCGATTCCCACCCGCGTTTTGGCGCTGTCTCTCTCGCACCCTTGCGCGACGGCCCATGAGTGTGAGAGAGACAACGCGATGAAAGCGCCGTCAGTCTGGCGCGGCGCGGCGGCCCGAGCGCCCGGACACCCAACGCGCGGCCCGAGCGCCCGGACACCCAACGCGCCCGTCGCGCGGCCCTGCGCAGCGGGTTGGCCTACCCCTGCGCTTCGCAGGCGCTCGGTGGGCTGACGAGCCTTCTCTCTCTCTCTCTGCCGTAAACAACCCCCGTTTCCCCCGTTCTTCATCGAGCACTGGGTTGGACGACCCGGCCGCCCTGTTGCGTGCGTCGCGTGCTCTCATTGGCTGCCGCTGACGTCACGCGCGTGCGCCCAGGAATGCTTTCCGCGTTTTCCTTGGCCATTCCGCAACGCCTACAATGTGAAACGAAAGGGATGCAGTCACGACAACACTCGGCGACGTATTGGCTCTGCCAGACACGCCAAACACGTTGCCGATGCCGCGATGCCTCGCAGTTCGGCGCATTTGGTCGTGCTCCACGGCCTGTCCGTGGCACGCCTGTCACCTGTTACAGTGTTACACGCACGCCAATGACTCCGATATTGGTGCCTCGCCTTCCTTCACTTTCACTGAGGGCCGGGCCGGGCCGGGCCCACCACGGCCAGGGCTGGAAAGGAGCCCTGCGTATACACACGCCGCCCCGCCCCACCACGCAGGGCAATGGATGAATTCCACAGTGTCATGGTCATACGAAAGCGTGTTTTCTCCCGCCGACAAGAGGCTTCGACTTTTCACGCACGCGCGCACGACCCACGCGTGCGCGGCGCACGGCGCGCACAGCGCCCTGCCGGTCTAGTCGGCTCTGGCTGCCTGCCGCCCTGCGGCATTCGGACGAGGGAAGGGAAGTCCCAAGAAGACAGCCAGGCACGCGGCGCCGGTGTCTCCTACACTGGCAAGTCGGGTCGATGCGCTCCCGTTCCCACACGCCTCTCTGGAGCTCAGCCCCCGACAGGTGTCGAAGTGCCAGCTCGTGGCGCCCATGATGATGACGACCAAACGGCGCGCACTGACCCAGGGGCGGAGCTGCCACCACGACCAGGGGGTGCATCGGCTTGGCGGCGGTGCGGCGCCGTGGACGGGACATGTCCCACTGGACACTGTGCTGGACACCGGGCCGCGCTGCGCTCCAAACAGGGTACTTTCACTGCTTGGTGCTTTCCCCATCATGACGCCAGTCCGGCAGGACGGGCAGCACGGCCAGGGCGGCGGCCAGGGCGGCGGCCAGGGTCAAGGCCAAGGTCCGGCATGGTGGCGCCAGCGCGCCAGCGCGAACGCGCGAACGCGCGCGGCCCTGCGGCAGTCGTGGTGCAGGTCGAGAACAGGGGCACGGCGCGGCTACAGGTTCGCCGTTGACAATGAAGAATCGAACCAAACTGAAAAACAAGATGAAACAGAACTGGCGACCATCGGCGAGATGCAGTCGTTCCGCCTCCGCAAGAAAGTCCGGCGCTGACGCGCTGACGGCGACGTTCGGTCGGCCAATGGCTTGGCCAATGGCGTCCCTGGAATGGCCTCCGCCGCGGCAGGCGGCGGGCAACCCCACGCGAGTACGCGAGTGCCGACATTTTTTAGAGAAAATGAATCCCTTTCCGGCCGTTTCTCTTCCTCGCACGGCGGCCACGGCCAGGTTGGCGAGCCACGCGCGCCACGCGCCACCACGGTCATTCCCCCTCGCGGATCGGCAGCGCCAAGGCAGCGCGCCCAGCCCCGCCCCGCGCCGCCACTGGAAGCGCGGCCGTAGCGCCAAGCACCAAGTTATGGTCAGGATAGCTTAAACTCAAAATTTAATCTTGCACGGAAATCATCTGACGCAAACTCCAGCCGTTCGCGAGATGCAGACACAAACAGTCGCGAAAAGGGTGAGGTTTCCACAGCCTGCCGCTCATCACGTCGTCCACGCCGTCCTCGTAAACAAGGGGCGCGGCTGGCGGTGACGTGTTCTTCCAGTGTGAAAGCAGCCGGGCAACCCGCGGTGCACCTCGTGATACGACTCGCGGCGTCGCGGGGGACGTGCGCGGGGACGTGCGCGCGGCCAAAATCCGGGGCCGAGGTCCACCGATCCGGCGAGCTCGTCCTCACCCGTAAGTACGGGACGCCCCGTGAGAGCGAGAGAGACGACAGAGCAGCAACGAAAGCTCGGGACAAAGCCACGCACTCACACACCGCTGGCGCTGAGGCTTGCGCTTCCAGTCCCGAAACTGCCTGACCTCACTCACGGAGGATCGCCCTGTCCGGTATTCTGCAAACCGCCCGCGGCGACCCGCCGGCCGACCTGACTTGCCGAAGCCGAAACCAAACCACCGGTATACATAACTGTGCATGGCTGACTGGCTGGCTGGCTGGCTGCCCCCGACCCGACGCCGAGCCCTGACTCCTGACGGCGTCCTCTGCCGCCCTGCTGCTCAGGAGCTGCGCCCGACGCTGCTCCCGTTACGCCGGAATCATAGCGCACCGAGACCATGCCGCCGGCCGCACCGCGCGGGAGGCTCACCGCCGTGGGAGCCTGCAGTGTGGGAGCGAGAGCACCGGAACTAGGAAATTACTCAAAGTGGAAAAAAATATTTAACTGCCGCGTGCGCGAGATGATGATTTTCCGAAATCCTACTGGAAGTCACGAAGCTGGAGTTGAACGTTCAAGTTTCACCAAGAGGTTCGATTTCGGTAGGCGGCGCCGCTTTTCCGTTCGCCGAAGCACCGAAACGAGGCGAGGTGACTCGACTGGAAAGTGATGATCGGATTGGAGAGGACGAGGGCGAGGACGGGCAGCGGACCGGGCCGGGAAGTCCGAGCGCCATCTAGTGAGTGTTCCTGGAAGTGCTACCTGCTACCTGTGTACCAGTGAGAGCACACACACACGCACACACACGGGCACGTGTACTAGCGCACGGAAAATAAAGGGGCCGAGGTCATTATCATTGCGAAGGACGGAGGTTTCGGTGAAAGTGGCCGCACCGCCGCTTTTCGAGATGATTATTGCCGCCAATATTTTTGTTATTGTGCCGCAGCGCTAGTGTGAGTGTGTGAGTGCGTGTGTGTGAGCGCGCCCGCCTGCAATAATACGATCATTATACACGTACGGCGCGGCTGCGCGGCTCGCCTCGCCGCCGAAGCACCCCGCCTGCCAGCCTGCCACTAAGCACTGCCGGCACTATGCCACTGCCGCCGATTCCCGACTCCTTCTCGCTGCTTTCGTTTTGTGGCTTTGTGGTGTGGTGCGCGCGGAGCCCGGCGGAGTACGGCCCGTGTCACTTTCTTTGCGCGTGAGGGCGAGCGTGAGGGTGAGGGACGCGTCCAGGAAGCCCGCTGCGCGCTCCGCCCGCCGGCCCGGGCCGCGGCGTCGCCTTGGGTGCCGTCAACCTAACCTAACCATGCGCGCGAGTGAGAAGCACCCCCATGGGCGTTAAAGGTCAGTATCTATCGCCGAGCACTGACACTGTCGTCAGTACGACAGGGGTGGCTTCAGAATTTGGTTTCTAGGACGGCTATTTGGAACCTTTGGCCTGCCTTCAATGCCTTCAGCTGGCTTGGGCCGCGCCTCCAACGGGGTCGTCGGCCACCCTGCGGCCCGCGCGGCTCAACTATGTAAGACGAGGACGTCCCAGCGTATCTGTCGGGGGCATTGACCTTGTGGGGCTCGGTCGCGCCGTGTCCGAGCCCGCCACGACGGACGCCGTGGGGAACTGGTTTCGGGACACTTACTCCAGTGGGAAAGAAAGGGGTTTAATTTGTTGCAGCGGGCGAGCGGGCGCCAGAGCGCCAACTCCATGTCGTCGACCACACCGACCACGCCGTCGTGGACGCGTCCGGCGGTGACGCCGCCACTGGATGACCGAACGTCGCCACCCGGGCCGTGGCGGCACTGCACGCCAGAGCAGGCCAAGCAGCGCGATGGGCGCGACGATGCACCCCTTGCCATTGTCCTGGCGGTGCTCCGCGAAGGTGGCGTGCGGTGCCGCGCCGCCGCGCCGCCGCGTCCCCGGGACTCGCGCATTGTTCGCGGCTCCGCGGCTCCTCCGTGCACCGCGACTCCGTGTAGAGCGTGCTCATTATGCTCACCTGAGGAAGTGGCGGCCGGGCGGGCGGCCGGGCGGACTGGCGGCAGCCTCAGCGAGTGCTCATGGCGCTCGTGGCGCTCATGGCGTAACCCGGGCGGCGGCCGCGGCGGCCGGCAGGCGCAGGGCCCTGAGGGACGCCCTGAGGGACGCCCGGAGGGACGCCATGCCGACGAGGCACGGCGACAGGGCCCCGTCTGGAAAACAGGGCCGGACAAAAAAGGGTGAGTACGCTTCCTGCTACGCCCGCTCCGCCCGCCTCGCCCGCCGGCAACGCGCGGAGCCGGCGGAGCCGATCATCCTGGCGGAGAAAGAAGTCCCTGAACCAGGTCAGCGCGCTGGCGGCGCTGGCGGCGCTGGCGGCGAGGCCCTGCCGACGCCGTGGCCCTGCTGGCGCAGGCGGCCAGGAAGGCGCATTCCCAACACGGCCTTCCACGCTCCCTCACTCTCGCACCCCTGCGGCCCCGCGGCACGCCCTGGAGTGCGGGAGAGACAGCGCGACAGCGCGACCGAGCACCGTGTCGGACGCAGCCTGCTGCGGGGGCGGCGCGGCGCGGCCTGGACTGGAGTGAGTCAGAACGTCTGCCAACAACAGACGACGCACCGCACCAACCCTGGGCCGCGGGCAGGCCGGGGGCGTCACGCCGCGCCACGCCGCGTGGGCCGCTGGCAACCGTTGGGCGTGTCGTTGGCATACGACGCACGCCGCCGCGCGCCCCAACGTAACTTTCTTCTGGACACCACGTCCGGGCATTTGGCAGAACAGAGCCGCGACGCGTCCGTTCGCAGGTTCGCGGCAGTGCTTAGCGGGTGCTCCAAATTTCGCTTGTTCCATTCCGCGACACACTGCCAGAGCTCGGCAGGATGTCGGTGGAGTTGACGGTGTGCACGAACAGCTTAAAGCGCGGCGTGCCGGAAGTCCAAACGTAACCTAGCCTAACACGACACTCTAACCCAGTAGACCGAGTGGGAGGTCTCTCTCTCTCGTACCGGTGCGGCACTGTGGAATCAGTCTACAACGTGATAACCGCGACGTCACCGCTTGCAGTGCAGGGCCGAGCAGGGCCCCGCGGGGGGTCAAGGCACAGACAGGCAGGGTGTGGTGCCTCGCCACCACGCCCCTCAGACCATCCATTGTGGACGAAAGGTTATAACGGGTACTGCCCCCCTCCCCTTTCCAGTGCCCCTTCGCACAGAGACCAATTGGGCGCTTTTCCCTCGGCGATGATGCTCTCAGGAGGTCCCGGTTTTTTACCCCTGGCCTGGCCGGCCGGCGGGCTGATTGAATTAAAGTGAACCCAGTGGGCCGGGCCGGAGGGCTCGTGGCAGTCATCTGTCGGTACAATAACCAATAACAGTTTTAAAAATGCTAGACAGCAAATGACGTTGCTTTACACGATGTGAACGTGTCTGCTTTTCAACGCACACCAACAATGCCGCGTCTTTCAACTTTAGACTGTCCAGAAAACCCGCTGGGGCTCGCAGCAACCGATCAAAGCTAAGCGGCTCGCGATTGAGCCCTGATCGACAGAGACTGGTGACTGCACGGCGTCGCGGCGGCGGCGCGGGCGCGGCCTGGGCGTGGCATGTCCCTGCCGGGGACAGGCCTAAAGGGGGCCTAAAGGCAGGCCTAAAGGTGGGCCTCACGTAGACAATAACGGTTCCGACCCGGCCCGCCGGCCCGCCGCCCCACCCCGGCCCGCCGCTCCTCGCCGCTGGCTGGGAGCTGCCAAAGGGGGGGGGGCCGCTGCGGTTGCGACGCGGCCGATAATTGTTGCAGGCTTTTGGCATTTCTAGGCGCGGAGCCTTCTGTGCCTTTGCGGGGGGGACCCGGGCGAGAGGTCGCCGAGGTCGGCACAACCGCAATACCTGTCCTTCCCGGCCGCTGCCGCCCCGGCCCTTCGTCATCAACGGAACGGGGCCGACGGGGTGCCGCCAAAATGCAAGCCTTCCTCTGGGACTTTCCAGTGCAACGGGCTCCGTTTCCGGCACGGAATTCCCAGGGAAGTCCCAATTCTTTGGGAGACTTGAACGACAGGAACATGGCTCGTCTGCGGATTATGTTTTTCACCCCCCCTCCTCTTTCCGGGCCATCCTGCGGGCCCTGGTACACCTCACCCACGGAGATGCTTCGAGTTCCCCCTTCCCGACGTCACGTAATTTATGCAAGCCGCCTTGTGCAGGGGCTGGGCTTGGGCTGCGGGAAAACGAATGGAATGATAACAGTGACGCGCGTGGGCGCATTCCGGTTGGATTCACCGTTCGACAGACAGACAGACAGACAGACAGACAGACAGACAGACAGGCAGACAGACAGACAGACAGACAGACAGACAGGCAGACAGGCAGACAGACGCGAGATGTGTCGCGGACTGACACCGACTGACACAATGACAGGCGGCATGCGACACGCCCGCGGCGCCGGGTCCGCCAGCCTGCCAGTGCAAGTGTCGCTACTTGGTACAGAAAAAAAAATGAAACTCTTGCAGGCGCCGGGTAGGCCACCGCCTTCGGTTGCAGACACGCGAGTGGAGCGGGCTGCCTACCCGGTGCCCGGCAGGCTGACAGGCGCCGGGTAGGCCACCGCCTTCGGTTGCAGACACGCCAGTGGAGCGGGCTGCCTACCCGGTGGCCGGCAGGCTGAAGGTGAAGACGCGTGCGGAGGTCGCCCCCCGGAGACGGTGCGCCTCGGTGATAACCTTGTCTCCCTCTACGAAACAGCTACACCGTGCCGGGGTGTTGATAAGGCGTGTCTCATGGATAAGCGCAGTCAGGTGACGCAGTTGCTGCGAGATTCCCCTCAGCTGCGACCGGCGCGACCGACGGCGGGCGTCTGGGTCAACACACATCAACACACACGTAAACAGCCACCGCCCTCGGAAGCATTTACATTTTGGGCCGGGTCATGCATGCATGACCCTCACTGCCCTGCCGGCGTTCCGCGATCGCCTCCGCGCCGGTCGAAGAGGCCAGCCTCCCTATCAGGGCTGTTATCGAACGCACCCCGAGGGCGACGCGCGCGGCGGGGCGGGGCGCAACGAGCAATGACCCAACTGAGTGCTGTTTCGAGTTTTCTGTTTCTCCGATCCCGTTTTCCTTCGCCTTCCCGCCTGCCCGGCCTGCCTGCACCGACCGGGCCAGGGCCAAGCCAGGGCCAGCCTTGTGCCGGACGACTCCGGCGGCCACTGCCAGGGCCTCCACGTCCTCCCTCAGCGCGTACTTTCTTCTCAAGGACGAGCGCGATATCGTGCCTGGGCGGGGACTCGAACCCGCGACCTTGAACTTGAGGGTCCGCATCGCTGCACCCACGGCCACCGGGCACCGCGGCACCGCGATGCGCGCGGGGACACTTTGCCCCGTAAATAAAAGGGAACGGTGACGTCACCACGGCACGTCACAGGGGGCCTCATCAGGTGACTGACTGGCCCTACTACTATGTGCTCTGTGGCGGGACGGGGCACGGGGCAGGCGGGGTGCGGCGGGGCGCGGCGGGGCGCGGCGGGGACGTCGCGTCTCGCCGGCTGCAGGAGAGAGTAAGAGGGGGGAGGGGGAGGGGGGGGGGCGACCCAGCGACCGCCACCACGCTCCACGCCTGCCCCACTGGTCCTGCCCGCCCTGCCGCCGCAACTGCCGCTGCCTTCAAAGTAGGTTAAGAATCTCCGTCAAGTATGTGGCCTGCGAGGCGGGGCGGGGCGGGGCGGGGGGGCGGGGCGGGCGGGCGTGAGGAGCCTCCTGGAGGCGGAGAGCAACGGGCTACCGACCCGGCTGGGGTACGCGGGGCACGGAGCACCCGAGGCAGCCGCCCATGGCCCCCATGGCTACACCGCCTCCAGGCTGAGCCGCCGTGGGCCGCGGAACGCGTTCGCTGAGGACCACGACGTCGACGAGGACGCCGACGAGGACGCCAGGGCACGCAGGAGCATTCGCGGTTCGGCCCGGACCGCCTGCCCGGCCCGCGCTCGCGGACTTCCCCGCAAGCTTCTTTTTCCAGTGTGGACTCCAGGCATGCTCCTGGCAGCACCTGGAGAGCCGGGCCGGGCCGTCGTGGCCGTGGCCGTGGCGTGGCCGTCGTATCGGGGAAGACGGGACCAGACCAGACGGGCCTGGCCCGGCTCGGCCCGGCTCGGCTCGGTGCGATTCGCTTTTCAGTTCGACGGTTCGACTCGGCTGCTCTCGGATGTAGTTTGAGCCTTTGAGCCTCACAGCTGGGTCCTGGGTGGCGTTCCCCGCGTCAGGATGAGGACCACGTAATCCAATCCGGGTCGGGCCGGGGTGGCTTCCAGCTCCCAAGTTTGAAAACGGGAGGAAAGTGTCCCAGTGAGCGGCGGCCCCAGCTGGGACAAGAGTTACTGGTTTCGAGTGGCCGTCTATCGCGAGCAACGGTGCGACGGTAAATCGCCCAGTACCCCGCCTGCAGGCCAAGCACTGCCGAAACCAACTCCACTCCGATATTAGGGACTCCGTTATGTCGCGGACCAGCCAGGACGCCGGGACCAGCACGCCGCGTCCTGTCTTGTCATGTCCGGCCGAACGCGCTGCACGCGCTGCAGGTCCCAACCTTGAACCTCCCCGGGCTGCTCGGCTGCTTGGCCTGCTTGGCCTGCTTGGCCAGACAACAGCAGTTGAGCCGCAGCAAGCAGCAAGGCATGCGGGAGCACTGTAGGCCCGCCAGCCCCGCATGGCGCTCCTCGTCAACAACAACACCGCCGCCATGCCGATGGACGTCCGCCGGCACTGCAGGCTCACGTCTCGCTGTCTCTCTCGCACTCTCGGGGCCTTCCGAAGGGGTGAGAGAGAGAGAGACAGACTTGCAGGCCTCGCAGGCATGGCAGCGAGGATGTGAAAGTGCACCGGGAGGGCGATGCATCGCGATGCATTGCCATGGCAATCACAGAATGGAAAGGAGCGATGTTTCGGATCCGAGAGCGAGGCAATGCAGGGCAATGCCGGCCAACGCGATGACCACTCGATGGCGTGCTGGACCATTCCGCGATTCGGCGACCCACGCGCCCAGCACACGCAGCTCGCACCGAGCACTCCAGGCACGCGCTGCGATTCAAGCCCTTTTCTTCTCGCTCCATCTCGAAGACCGAGGCCCTGGCGGGGCCCTGGTGGGGCCCTGGCGGGGCGACGCTTGCCCCGATGATTAACACGTCCTTCCCTCGCGATCGGTGACGCCAGGCCGTCGCGTCGCGTCGTCGGCCTGCTAGTGTAGCGGCGTAGCGGCCCGAGCCGAGAGCTCGCTGCTAGGCTGCTTGCTTCTCGAGTCGCCGCGATTCATACAGAGAAATCAGGTGTTGCGTCTGAGACACAAAATGTGTCAGCGCGAGTGCCGGCGGCGTGACTCCCCCCGCCCCGCCCCGCCCCGAGGACATGCCGAGGCGTCGTCTGCTACACTGCCACCACAACACGCAGCAAGCCGCCCCCAGCCGCCCCCGCCCCTCGCCGACGCCGGCCGGAGGAGATACAGTGTCCCAGGGTGAAGGCTGATCATCCGAGCTGCGCGCTGCACGCGTCGCCAGTTCAACAAACCGCCGCAGAGTCGCCCGTTTCTAATCAATGCTCGCCTGGATTCGCTGATTTCAATTTTCCATATGCGATGAGGGGAGGGAGTGGCCGCGTGAGCGAGCAGCGAGTTCAGCGCGCGGAGTGTCACGCCGGTGCCTCCTGGCGTCGCTGGCGTGACTACCAAGTCGCACGCAAAAAGAGCGACGGCGACAGCGACAGCGGCGTGCTCTCAAAAGGACGCGCCGCGACGCGCCGCGACGCGCAGTAGGTTACGGACCGGACCGGACCCCCGCGTCGCAGTGCGTCGCAGTGCGTCGCAGTCCCTGCCACAGGCCCCGCTCACCGCGTCGCCGAGGGCTGACCGATTGACACCTCGGCGACGGCGCCCCTGTCAACCTGCCGCGCGCCCATCGCGACCACGACGACGGGGTGCTTCGAGGAGCACGGGCCGGCGGCCGAGCGCGGATACTCACCTCAAAGAAAGCAGTGGGGTGGAAATCCTTAGTATCCGTTTTGCCGTTCGGCAGCGTGCACGCGGGTGGCACTGAGTCGCACTGGTCACTGGCAAGTCGCGAGACGAGCCTTGCCGCCCCACTCGGCACTTGTACGTCTACAGGCTGCGCACTCCTGCCACTGTTTCCGTCTCTGTCTCGCTCCGCCCTTCCATGCTGCTCCTTCCCGGCCAACTGACTGGGCTGGGCAGGGCAGGCTGGCTCTGGCCTGCGCCGCGCTGCGCAGTGCCCCGCGGCTTGAGTTGGGCCCCGGCCAGTGCTGCCAACCGAGCGCCTCAGACGCTGGCACACTGGCAGGCGGGTTCACGGGCCGGCGGGCAGGCTGGCCAACCTGCGGACGAAGGCGGGCCTTCACGACCACTGGGAACGGCAGAAGCTATGCGAGGGAAGCCCCAGCACCGAATTGGTTGAAAGGTTTTGGGTTGACAGTGAGGCAAGGCCGCAACCCACTCTCCGCACATGCAACATTGTTTTGGGGCTTCTGACTGCGTGTGAATCGCTTTCGGTCGCTTTTAACGTGATCATGGCTGAACTTAAGTTGAGCGTTTACTACAGAAATGTTCTGCTAGCTACATCTTCAAATACTTTACATAAAGATTTCTAACATTTGAAGCGTGGCGGTCGACGACGAACTGGAAGAGGTAAACATTACCAACATGTGACATAATAGTGTGTCCGAAATATTCAACTTACATCGAACAATATTTCAAATGGACCTGGGCACATGACTTTTAAGCTTGTAAATAGTTACAAAGCGTTCTTTTTTTCTCATTCAAGCAAATGTTATGTAATTTTAAACGGCAAGAAAAATTACTTTGTGATGTTGGCTTTAGATGACACTACAACCAGTGTTGCCACACAAGGTGGCAAAAAAATCCCTTGATGCGCTAGTGTCGAAAGGGTTGCCAACCTTAGCCTGCCCAGTAGGCAACAGGCAACTTCTCGAGAGCATCGCCCGGATATTGCCTGGCCAGGCTGAAGTTGGAAGTCCTTTCGACACTGGCGCATCGTGGGAAGTTCTGTGTCTAGTATGGCAGCACTGACCACCTGTGAGATGAGAATTTACGCACAGCATTTCAGGCCTTCACGGTTCTTTCCAATCGAGGGCTCTACGCAGCTTGGTAGGAATGGGTAGGGAGTAGAATCTCACGGTGTGTGGATTGCTTGCGGTGGTGTTGTTTGTTGCTTGGCCATTCGACTTGCGACTGCGAACAGTGGACGACGACGACGACCTAAAGCTCAGCGAGCGCCCCCTGGCCTGCCGTGGCGGCCAGCGCAGGAACTAAAGAGTCGTGGGCGCCACGGTGTAGAGTATTCGAAATTCGAACAGACCGGTCCTTTGCAAAACTCAGATCAGACCAAGGGGGAGGGTGGGTGTGCTCGTAGAGAGGCGAGTTTCGAAGTCAACGGTAAGTTTTGCCTTGCGTGTGATTATTTCCCGTTTCTCATCGCCTTTACACTAGAAGTGTCATGTGATCCCCTGCACCCCTAAGAGACATGTTTGCAGACGTTGACTGTAATTCTAGTTCAGTTATTCGTGGGTCTCACCCATTGAAGATACAGCTTCAGCTTATTCATTTTTGAGGGTCATTGCCAGGATCTGATGAATGAAGAGAGAGGATGTTGAATCTTTTTCCGTTTATTTCTTTTTGACGTATCTTTACTGATATTGTTACAGGCGTACATTTTTAGTTTTAGTTTTGAAGTCATGCTAAAATCTATACTGGATTCCAGGGCATGACAATTTTTATAAAATTTTCAACCATGAAAAATTTTTTTCCTCTATAAACTTTTTGAAAGCTTTTTCAGGATAATGTACAATCATTACACTTAGAGATAGTCATGATATCAGCGGGAAGGAGAGGGATGACAGTTCTATAAGAGATTGGATGTCTCCATATAAGAGATTTCATACTAATTCTATAATTTCCTTTCATTACTCCTTTTCTTTCCTTTTTGTTTATTGAGTTGCTAAATGTCTTATCTACTGTGATGTATAGCAACCACCAACATCTTCCTATGAACTGAACTGCATCTTTCCAATCAAAATTATAACAAAAGAGATTGATCCTACAAAACAGAGGAGAGCACAGCAGATTTCCTCTGAATGAAGATTGATGGCACACTGCAGCTACTAAGATAATCCATTTCATCAATTGTTAAATTAACTTGGTCCAAATTGAAGAGAAGAAAAATAAATCCTTACAAGCTAGAGACCATCCTGCCTCAGAACACATTCATGTTTTTTGAAGTCACAGCAGAGACATTTCTAACTCATTTAAATTAAATGAGCTACTTAGCAAGAAAACAGTACAAGTATGCATGCATAGAATGTGGCAACCCATTTCTTTTCAATGCATATTTTGTATCTTTTGGCAGTGCTTCAACAATGACAAGAAAAATTCGGCTACTTTTGGCTTTAATCTGCTCATTCTGACAAAGATACAAAGGGACAATGCGCAGTGAACACCACATTCTAGAAACATTAAAGATTCATGCAGAACTACGGTTTTAACCTTGCATAGAAAAGTGAAAACCAAAGAAACCTTAAATTGAAGAGACATTTAGCAATATCAGCTACAGTCACATGCAAACCTGAGGAGTCACAAGGAACAAGGCAGGAACATTTAAGTTTCTCAAAAATATTTTCAGGGATAAAATTGCCATGTGGTTTCCCTCTTAAAGTATTGATTGATTGGATTGATTGATTGATTGATTGATCAGAAAAAAAATGTCACAGAATAAGACTTAATCCTGTCAGTCTTAAATAGCCGAGTGTTATTCATTGTACAAAGTTAATGAGATATTTCATTCCGGTCAGTGCTGTACGTTTGCAGGCTGGAAGAAAAGCTCATAATAAAATAATCTGGTTCAGTCGATGAAAGTTTGCATGAATGCAAAGTCAAAACGCCAAGCAACTTTATCTAAAATCCAACCATCAAGGGAAAATATTCAAAAATTCCAAATAAGTTCCAGACATTAATGGCTGACTAGGTTATGCATTGATTTCTTTAACGCAAAGATGCTCATTTTGTTTTCGTTTTGAGATTATTATTTTTTGCACAAAGAAGCAATGACCACAAAAGGCTAGAAAAAAATAAACCGGAGGTTTCTTTCAATGAGGAACTTGCTAGTTGTTACTTTACAGCACAGCGAGGGAAATTAAATATTGGACAGAAAAGCATCTTACACAGACCGCTCTCAAAATAAAAATACTAAATAAAAGACATTTTCTGCAATAAGTACAAATACCTAACTATGGTATTCTCTGGCTAATCATCACAAACATAGTTACTGTCTGCAAAATAAATAAGAAAACAAGATTGACAGAATCTAATTTCAACACAAGGTAAGAACTGAATCTCTTCACATCAACAACCCAGACAAGTACCCTTGCTTTTATAACTTGAGTTTTACATATTCCTTAAACAAGTCTAAAAGTTTTAACAAAAAATAAAGCTATTAAAATATACATCCTATCCATAACCAAATCATTCGACACAATAAAAACCAATGAAACATTTTTTTTAAACCTCCCATTAATTTTTCTTGTCCAAAAAAATTCATGACAATTTTCTTTTAAGTGTCCTGAATCAATTTGGTGTTTATAAATGGCTTAGAGATAAGGAATCAGAATTGACTTCAAATTTTAGTAGTGGTGTGAACAAAGAACAACTGAAGCTTTTAAAATGAAATCAAAGTTGTGACTTTTCTGTGCTGATACATTTTTGGATTACTGAATGCAGCATGAATTCTTGTGACCATTCTTTAATTTGAGTCTAGATTTCGGCCTGTACTTCTCCAGAAAGGCTAGCTGCTTGGCATTGATAGCCCCTCGTCTCTTCCTAAAGACAGAAGAAAAAATTGTTAACATGAAGGAGTAACAGTGACAGAACCCAAGGGTGTATTAAAGCTGTAACGTACTGTCGTATCATCTCCACAGCATCTTCATACTTCAATCCCAGCTCAATAAGTGCAAGGGCAACCAAGACAGGTGCTCTGCCCAAACCAGCGACGCAGTGTACAGCAACACAGGCATCAGGGGTGTCCTTGAAACGTCTTCTCAAGAGCTCAAACCACTCATCAACTACCTGCAATAAAGAAAAAGAAAATTTAGACATAATCTAAAAACAAGGACTTCAGTAAAAAAAAAAAAATCCGTACCGTAGTGGGAGGAGATGTGCCATCGTCATATGCTAGATCAGTAACACTAATTCCTTCCTCTCGAAGTTCCTCCACCTTGTATGTTGGCTCACATACCCGCACCACATCCCTGACCTTGTGTTTCTTCAGCTCCTGAAACAAAACAAACAAAACGGTGTAATAGTCCATTCTATGCCACCGAAACAACATCAAAGGGTAAATGACCGCAGTTTATGAAACGGGTCGTGTTTGTTCCTAATTCCATAGAAATTCACTGCGTGAGCATCTACTGTGAGTTTATTTAGGGTGAATTTCACTGCAGCAGCCCGCGGCCCGCATGTAACGGCTTGCCATTCCCCCCAGAGGGACTAAGGACCAAGGAGGACCACACATCCAAAAACCAAAAATAACCCACCCCACCCAAATTTTCCGAGGGACACATAATTCGGTGGTGGGTGTTGCAAGATTTTCCCGCAACGCAAGCTGGCCAGCGTTGCCAGATCGTCCTGCCCGCCACGATCGGACATCGACCCCTACGACTGTGGGAGCACCAAGCGCACCAAGCGTCGCGGGGCGTCGCGGGGCGGGGCGTCGCGAGGCGGTCAGACGCCCAGCAAGTCCCACACACTCCACCACCACGCCCTTGTGCACCACCTTCACCTCGCACCATTCATTTCCAGGCCCGTGCCACGGGGCGGGGGGCTAAGGGCCAGCCCGTGGGCCAGCCAGGCCGACCGGCCACAAGGCCCAAGGCAGCCCAAGGGCTCGGCGGGGCCGCGGGGCAGTGCCAAGGTTGGGGGTACTAACCTCTCTGCTCTCTCTCTCTCTCTCTCTCTCGCTTCCCTGCGCGTTCCCCTCTCGCCTCGCTCCAGACTGCGCCCCGCCCCGCCCCGCCCCGCCCTTCCCTCGCCAGGCTAGCCACACCGCCTCCCTCTGGCGGGATCACGGGTTCATCCATAAATGGCATAACGCGGACAGACCAGAGCCGCCACACCGCCAAAATTTCGGCTGGCACATGGTGCCAATTTCAAAGGCTAACCTAACCTAACCGCTCACCTGGATGTAGGCCTTGATGGTGGTGTCCGACGGGCGGTCGGTGATGAGGAACTTCATTCCCTTGTACTCGATCTCGCACGGGGCGGGGCGAATGTCCTTGGACCGCATGTTGCTGCTCATTTCCGAACTAAATCACAGAAGGAAAGAAACAACGCTTCTCCTGGGCACTGTCTCGTGAACCACTGACAATGACAGCGTCCCCACTGGGACTCACAGTTCTTACAAGTAAAAACAAAACAACCAATGTCCTCCCTACAAAAATAGTCAAATAAAAATAGCCGGAAGTTTCTTGGATGGCTGATATGCAACTACAACTGTCTTCCTTCACACACTTTGACACTCCAGTCTCTTGGTTCTCGATACACACACACGCACACTCTGACACACACACGCACACACACACTGGTAATTTTTATCACACTGTACAGGGCAGCAGGGCACGGCCCGTCGGCAGACTCAAGGTCAGGGTCCTTGTCGTCGGCCAGTCAGTCGGCCACTTGGCGGCGAGGAGATCTTCGGCAGACGCGGCGAAAGGTTGCTTTTGGCGCGAAAAGGGCGAATTTTCGAGATGAACGGATGAGGATGATGATGAAGGCAGCCTTCTCGTCGGCCCGGTCCAGAGCTTCACCCCATGAGTCCAGTCCCAGAGCCGTCCTGACGGAGCAGAAGAGAAGCGGAGGTCCTCTTCCACGTCCGCGCGCTCGGCTGAGCTCGGGTGCGAATCACTGGGTCCTGGCCGTTCTAGTCCTGGTCGGCGGGCTGCACGCCGAGGAAGAGCTGCAACGCCCGTCTACTTGTGTTGAGCCTGGCAATATTCTGCGCTATCCAACTGGAACTCCATGAAGGAAGGGAAGATCGCTCCTGGAATCTGGAACAGGCAGAGAAAGGCAACTGGTATGAGGTTCAGGGTTCAAAGCTGAACTTTCAACACACGGCCCTGCAAAGGGACACCGGTGGGCCAACTTAGAACGTCAGGCTCGAGTCTACAGTACTGGGCACATTCAAAACGGAACGCGTTGGAAAAAACTTGGCAGCCAGATGAAAAGACGGGCCCATCGTAGCTTCATCACGAAGACACGACAAACAGAGTGTCCCGTCCAACAGGTGTGGCGGGGCCCCGGGGCCAGGGTGGGGCCACTGTGAGGCTGCCAGTGGCGTGCCCCCCACGGCGCGACCACGCGGCCCGCGGGCTTTTGGCCGCCTCCCTGCGTCTCCGTCCTCTCCGGGCCGCGCGCCAGCAAAACACCTCAGGTCACAAACACAGGATTCCACACTTTTCTGCGTCCCTCCGGACGAGAAGAGAGGGCTTTGCCGAGCCCACGGGGAGAGGGAGGGAGGGGTGAGCTGGGCGGCAAGGGAATTTCGGAGTGTTCCAGGTCGAGCGCCCTGCTCCTTGGGCAGAGGAGCGAACCCCGCGGTAGACTGATGTAGAGACAAAATCATTTCAGTCGCTCTCTCTCGCACTCGCACCCATGGTCGCAGGGGTGCGAGAGGGGCGAGACGATTCCACTCACGCCGTCACTCCATCCTGCGGCCGACGGCGACCTGAGGACTCCACCGCCACACTGTGTCGCGGCGGCCGCGGCTCGGGGGCGACGAGCTCGGCCGAGCTCCACCACTGCTAAAGAGCGAGTCGCGACGCGGTGCCGCGGTCGGCGTGTCCCTGGTCACTGTTTGAGGGGCGCCGCGCGGCTCTGCGCGTCCAAAGCGACTCTCCGCCCGTCGGGACTCCGCCGCGGGAACTCAGAGTACTCAGCGCCCGCGACGTCGCCGTCGTCGCCACGGACGCGGCCCGCGGGGGTGGCCGCGGGGAGGGGAGAGTTTGTTTGGCTCATCTTCATCAGGACACCGGCGCGTGTTGGCTTTGCTTGAAACAGAGCGGGGGGGGGGAGTGTAAACTTTGCCCGCCGCAACCGCCCCAAGTATCACAGTGTCACCCCTGAGCCTCATCAGGCCGTATTGTCCATCCGGGCGAGCGATTCGTCGTGTCGTCGCGCTGTCTCTCTCGCACTCACGGGGCTCTCCGTAAGGGTGCGAGAGAGACAGAGCGACAGCCGCTCGGCGGGCGGAGCGAGCCGCCCAGTTCCAAACGTTCGAACCGCGCCAGTTCAAACTGCGCGCCAGCGTGAGTCTGTCCGTCAGCAGAGCGACTTCCGAAGGCGCTCTCTCGCACCCACGGCGCGGGGGGCGGCAGCGAGAAAGAGAGAGAGAGGCGCCACTGCCCCTCGGTGGCCCTTGGCGGCGCGAGCGGATGACCGAAATACACGCCGGCCTGGGGGCCAGGGGCGGGGCCAGGGGCGGGGCCAGGGGCGCGGGGAGGGGGGGGGGTCACCATGAGCAAGCGAGACGGAGGGCAAGGAGCGCGACACGACGACCACGACGCGAACGCCATCGGGGACCTGCCTCTGACGCCGCCATGACGAGACGACCCGACCAAGGTCGTCCGTAACGCCACACACACACACACGCACAGGGAGACATACACACAGAAAGGGAGTTGATGCGACATGCACGCGAGTGCTCCGACAAAATTAGCCGCCCGCCCCGCAGTCCGCACCGACAACACCCACCCAGCGCCCATTTGGAAGCCGTTTAGCGCCGCACGTGTTTTACAGGGGAGTCGCGCGCGTTTGAGCGAAATTTACGCCACGCGGCGTCCGGCTGCGGTCTCCCTCGCACTCGCGTGGCGCCCGGCCGTGGTGCGAGAGAGACGGGACGGGGGAGTGTCGCCTCATTACGGCGCCACACGTTTTCTCGCGCTTTCTCGCACTCTCGCCGCGAGTGCGACAGAGACAGCTACTGGTCATGCCGACCGCGGCGCAGTACCCGCGGGCCCGAGGGGCGGAGGGCGGATGGGGTACGTCAGCGCCCGTTTGGCCGCCGAGTCGCACTGCGCGGGGGTGGTTCATCTCTGTCCCCCTCGCGAGAGAGTGCGAGAGAGACAGAGACAATGGCAGGCCACGGGCACGGGCAGCACCCGTGATCCGTCGGCCAACACCTCGCGTCACAGTGTATCGACAGCACGGCCACCCCATGACGGGCCGTGACGGGCCGGACGCGGCGGCAGCCCGACAAACACCGGTCTGGGCCGCCAGTACCGCTTCGGACTGGTTCCCCGCCATGGCCCGCCATGGCATGGCGGCGTCCCACCGCGTTCCACGCCTCCACGCCCCCGCCGAGGGCAGCAGGGCTCGCGCGGCCAGAGGGCCAGGAGGGCCGCGGCGAGGCAAGGTGTTAGGGTACAAGGCGGCCTGCGGCTCGGCCTGCGGGGGCGAGGCGAACCAAGGGGACCAAGGGGCTCGGCAAGGCTGGCGAGGCACGCGACAACGCGGTCGATAAAGTGCGTCCCTCTGTCTCTCTCGCACCCCTGCGGGCCTGCGGCAAGCCAGAGACACAGACAGCACAAGCGCGCTGGTGTCCTAGACGCCAATGGACTGCCGCGTCGTTTCTCACGCGTTCAAACTTTCAAACCGCGTCGAAATAGCGTGCAGCGCGCGCCATCGCTGGTTCCTACGCCTGTCTCTCTCGCACTCATCGGACGTCCCGTAAGGGAGCGAGAGAGACAGAGCGCCTGGCTGCGTGGCGCGTGACGTCGGCGGCCACGGCGCCAACAGGTGGACGGCCTGGCGCGGCCCGCGCACCGAGAAACCAGTGCATTGATCCGCTAATGACAGAGTTGCCTTCGGACCGAAATACCGCCAACAGCGCGGCGACACCAGAAAAACAAAAACACGGCGCCGCGGTCGATGGAAAGGAAGTCTTGCACTGAGAGTGTGCGTGCAAGAGAGAGACGTAGGTGCGAAAGAGACAGAGCGACAAAAGCGACGCTCGGAGTCAGTCTGCAGGCTTACCGCCGCACTTGCGACGCCGTCGACGCGTGCCTTCTGACAGCGGCGACACCGGGCGACGCCGGCACAGGCAGAGCGGGCAGAGCTATCTGGCGGCCAATGCTGGCAGCCCCAGAGCGCGCAGAGCGTCGCAGAGGCGCAGCGCGAAACAATGAACCAATGAAAGCCGCCATAGTCACCGCCTTCAAACAAATGCACTCGCGAGGAAAACAACTTCTCCAACGTTATTTGCGTCCGCTTGTCTCACTGTCCCCGCGGTGCCGCGGTGGTGCGGTCACAGAGCTCTCCATTCATCGCGCTGTGTCTCTCTCGCACTTGCACCGGCAACTCGGGGCGTGCGAGAGAGACAGCGCGACGATAGCGGCGTTCGGAAGCGCTCTGCGAAGACTGGCGCTGCGAGTCCACTAAGAGCGCCGCCCGTCCCGTCCGGCGAGCTCAAGGTCGCAGTCACGGCAACCTGCGCGCCTGACGTTACATAACGAGTCAGGTGCGGATCCAGAGGGGATGGTTAATTGACAGCAATTGAACAATCGACCCCCGTCGGCCCCTGGATAGCCGCCTGAAAGGTACGCAAAGAGCCACACTGTGCCCCTGGAAGCGAGCAAAAAGTGCTACTTTGGCCCCACCTCCAAAGTGAAATGCTTGGCGCCCTGCCGTGCCCTGCCCGCCGCGCAGACGATCAAGGATCAAAGAAGATGCATGACGCCGCGGGCCCATGGCGCCCCGGGCCCAGCGAAGATAGGAAGATAGAGTATCTCGGGGAAATAGACAGTGTGTCTGGCCGATACGGATTCCGCCGGATTCCGCACATCGCTCCGTCTCTCTCGCACTCACGAGGCGCTAGCAATGGAGCAACGAAACGCTATGCTGGCCGACGCAATCGGAACCATTAGGGCATCGTCAGTTTTGAAGAGACGACAGCCGTGGAGTACAAGTTTAGCCGGGCAACCTCCTTTCGCGCACCCCTTCCCCACCTCTACCCCCACTCCTGCCACCAACCCCAAACCCCCGAGGCCCCGCGAGGCAGCGCCGGCGGCGCCCCGGGCGGAGGCAGCTGACGCAAGTGGCGGCGTAAACACCCCCCTATTACACAACAAATGCAATCCAGCGAGAAGCAAGAAGAAACCGATACCGACCGCCCGCCTCGCGACGAAGCACGGAGGAGCCAGGTGCCGCAGCTCGAAGTAAACCGCTGGCCGCCGCAGCATTTTCCGCGCATTCTGCACTATCGTCCGGGAGCGGCATCGCCCGATCCTGGACGGGCCGTGGGAACAGTGTGGGGAAGGGGGCGGGGGAAACCCGAGCCGGCGCGTCGGACACACCCCTGCCCTGCCGGCCCTGCCGGAGTCGCCGAGTCGAGGGCCTAAAAATCAGCCGAGGGCGGCAGTTGTGCGACAGAGACAGACAAGCGACACCTGACTCGGCGCGACGCGTGCGTCAGACCACTGTCAGACCGGGGACCGCCGGCGACCGCCTGGAAGCGGAAGAGGCAAAGGGAGCAGCACTGCAAAAGAACAAGCGAGACACGTGAAGAGAATCGACAGCTAAGCAAGGCATTTTTTCAAATCTTGGTTTCTTGTTCACAATGAATTACTATCGCTCACTCTCGATTCCACACTGCTCTCCTCTCTTTTTCTCAAATACAGTACTAGGTCCCGCCCATCCGCCCAGCGGCCTGGCGGTGCGTTATCTGCCGACGGGTTTCGCATGCCACACTGCGAGCTGTGACGTCACCCCGGGCCGCACCGAGTCCACCACAAAACAGCGTCCGCCTATCTCTCTCTTACCCTTACGTTTCGATGAGTGCGAGAGAGACGATCGAGCGGCGATAACGCGACACAGCTCGGAATCAGTCTGCGGCACCGAATCTGGCCGGAGCGTCGGTCTGGCTGGAGCCAGTGGATCGCGACGGCAGACAATACTCGTTCACCACCCCGCGGGGGCGGGGCGCATGGGCCAGCACGCCCAGTGTGTCACGGTGCCGGCCACGCCAGCAGCGCGACACGCTCCGAGACACGCT